TTCACTTATCTTCTATGTCCTCCTCAATTTTAATATTTCTCCCATGCTCTCAAAGCGAGTCGATATCTATTAGTTGCAGCAGACGTCTGTGCCCGTTCTCCTGAACTAAAATCTAGTGTCATTGTAATACGTAGTGTCAGTGTAATGTGTATTTTGGCCTATAGTCCTACACTGTTGTCGTGGATGTTATCAGTAGTGTAGTGGTGGGTGAAGTAGATCTAGCCTCTGCGCAACTAGTTTCAAGTTCCTCCTACTTGTCCTACCTACTATAGGTTCATGTTTCCGGCTTTTTGTAGCTAATATTAACTTGGTGCGGTTGACCTGTCGCTCTCTCTCTTCTCTCTCTCTACTCTCTTCCTTTTTCCTCCCCTAATTACATGCGTAGTACAGTTGCTACAGTATAACTGTGTTCCCTCATTCTCTCTCTCGCTCTCTCATCTCTCTCTCTCTTCCTTTTTCCTCCCAATTACAGGTGTCCAGTTGTACAGTATTAACCTGAGTTTCCTCACTGTCTCTACTCTCTTCTCTCTCTCTCTTCCTTTTTCCTCCCCTAATTACATGTGTCCAGTTGTACAGTATTAACCTGTGTTTCCCTCACTGTCTCTCTCTCTCTCTCTCTCTCTCTCTCTCTCTTCCTTTTTCCTCCCCTAATTACATGTGTCCAGTTGTACAGTATTAACCTGTGTTTCCCTCACGTCGTCTCTCTCTCTCTCTCTCTCTCCTCTCTCTCTCTCTTCCTTTTTCCTGCTAATTACATGTGTCAGTTGTACAGTATTATTAACCTGTGTATTTTCCTCACTGTCTCTCTCTCTCTCTCTCTCTCTCTCTCTCACTCTCTCTCTCTCTCTCTCTCTCTCTCTTCCCTTTTTCCTCTATCTACAGTATAATATTATACTAATATCAGGTTTCCAGTAGTTTCTAATCTATTTTTATCCTCTTGGGTGGCCTGTACATCTCTCTCTTCCTTTCACTTTCCCTCTTTCTCTGCAAGGACAATCAACCGTGGTACCCACTTTGGTGTAATAGTCCATGCCTCATTGCATTAGTGCATTACACTCTGTACTCTGTATGTCTCTCATGTTAATAGTCTCCTCTTGTTGGTTGGCCACGAGACCATTTTGAAAATTCCATCACTGATGCTCGTTTTCACTAGCAATTCCCCGAGCCTCATCCCCCTATCCGGTGGTGTTGCTATAGTCACCAGCCCGTGCAGCTGCCTTCCATGGCACATTGGCTCTGGTCCACCTAGCCTTGTCTCCTGGTGTATATACCTTGGAGAGGAGGAAGTTGGACACAGTGCCTGTGGGTGAATGCATAGTAGGCAGGTTTAGTATTCGTAGCACTAAGCTCTATGCAGACAACTATGTTACTATAGGAGACTCTGCATGTCTCTATCATTGTGTTGTCAGTCTTTCAGCAAATATACGCCCACTTTCACCGAGATTCACAAGCGTGCCTGCAGTGGGCTATAGGTAACTAACACCAGCTACATAATTTTATTAGACCGTGTAGACTATATACTGTAGTAATAGAGTCGTTTGTCACGAGGCAAAGGGCCATCTATTCTACGTAATTCCCTGCATGCCTGTTTACTGCCCTTAATACTGAAACCAATATTCACAGCAGTTGTGGCACATATTGACGCACCCCATAGGCTGCATTAGTGGAGTGAGTAATTGGGCATTAGTAGCCAGCTAACTATCTCACAGGTCCCTGTATTGTGGTGGAGAGTATCACATTTCCTGCTGCTAATTGTGGAGGTGTTTGCCACTTTCAATCCATCAAACAACAACAACAGTTGGTGCCTCAGAGGTGCTCTGTTACTGGGTCGTGTTTCATGCTGTCTGCTCCCTCTCACCTCCCTCCCTGTCTCTCTCTCTCTCTCTCTCTCTCTCTTTCCAATCATTTTCCTTCATCCTCCCTCCCTCCTTCCCTCCCTCTCCATCTTCTCCCTCCTCTCTCTTCCCTCCAATCACAGCTATACCATGTCAAAGTCAACGGCACTCATCTTCATACTCGCCTTTGCCATACTCTTCAGACTGGAGCGTCCGGTGAGACCACACCCCCAAGCCACACCCACTTGATTATGTAACAGTCCTCCCACATCTAATGAATAAAGCATGTGTGGTTGTTTGTCTATCCTATTACACACCCTAAGAGCCCGCAATTAGATTGTTCGTTTCATCTCTATAACTGAGTGGGTGTTTATCATAGTAGAGTGAAGGGATAAATCTTACTCCTATTTATGCAGGGAATCCATACATACCACTACTATATAGAATGTAGAGTCCTTTTGTTATGACTGGTCTCAATGGAAGGAATTATGCCACTTGAGCCTTTGTTGTGTAATCGCACCATCCCTGTAATGATAACTTAACCTTACTCTCTCTCTCTCTCTCTCTCTCTCTCCCTCCTTCCCTCCAGAGACTAAGTCAGGTCGGTGTGGTGGTGCTCATTGTAACAGGTCTCTTCATGTTCACGTTCCAGTCCACCACCTTTGACCTGGAGGGATTCATTCTGGTACCAAACCCTCTCTCTCTCTCTCAGCTGGCACTATATAGCACCACTACAAACAGTATTGTGATATGTAAATCGATGACGTGTAGCACTATCAGTTAAATCTGCTTTTATCCCTCTAAAATCCACCGTCTTACTATAATTACTCATAATCTAGGTTAGTTTTATTTACGTAGGGAGTATGTCATCCAGATGTACACAGGTACAAAGGTAGTGGTCCCAAAGCTATTTGTTAAGAGTTTGGTTCATTAACAATGAGCTAGCTAAACAAACGAGGTGGTGGGCTGCTGGGAAGTAATCAGAGGAGGAAGTGTAATGGTACAGTTGTAAGGACATCCTGGACCCTGTGCCCCAGGCCCAGGAGGGGTCAAATGAGGTGGTCTATTCGTAACATACACACAGTGTGGAAATGAGGTGGTCTATTCGTAACATACACACAGTGTGGAAATGAGGTGGTCTATTCGTAACATACACACAGTGTGGAAATGAGGTGGTCTATTCGTAACATACACACAGTGTGGAAATGAGGTGGTCTATTCGTAACATACACACAGTGTGGAAATGAGATGGTATATTAGGGTGAACAACGGACATTGAAGGTGTCCTCTATTCAGAGGTGTCTTTTATTCCTGTATTAGTAGGGGACAGAAGTAGGGATTAAAACCCTTTCCACACTACTAATATAAAGCAGAAACCATGTACAAAGTAATATAGTGTAACCCAAACTCACTTAACACCCATCCGTCCACTGAATTTCCTGCCATTTAAAATCAATTCTCATCTCCCTGCCAGTATTTATAGCCCATAGAGCCCTGCTGTTTACTTCACTCCCTTACACTGTTCTATGTGTCTCTAGTGGGAGCTACCCAGCTCTCTTCTAAGAACACCTTTAATGTTCCCAGAACTGAATAGGGCCAGTCAGCACCTGTGAAGAACTTTGGCTGCACTGTGCTTCATGCTGCACCGTGTGAATCTACATACATCCCTTCTAGTTGTACATACACGTGCATTCCCGGGTCAGGGGTAGTGCGTGCATGTCTTTCAACCCCTTACTGATTATGTCATATAGAAGGTGATATGTGCTGGCTTCAGTTAATACTTGGGAACGGACTCATCTCTAAGAATTACGTGTTTTCCCCGTAAATGGTGCTGCAGTAGCGCGGTGTGTATGTATCTGGGTCGAGTTTTGACGTGGTCCTGCACGCTGAGTGTTGCGATTACTTCTCTGCTTGCCAGAGTGGATTCCACACTAGTGGGTATGCTAATTCTTTAGTGCTTGATCTCTCACATGACACCCTTTGCTCTTGGTGTACGTACCTTCATACGCACCTTTCAAATATGTTAAAGAGTCCAATAGAATATAAATTCATACGCACCTTTCAAATATGTTAAAGAGTCCAATAGAATATAAATTCATACGCACCTTTCAAATATGTTAAAGAGTCCAATAGAATAATAGTGTAAAACATTCTCAACGAGTTGTATGTCAGTTCTCCCTCTTTCCCTCTCTCCCACCTCTGCATCAATCTCCCCCCCAGGTCTTATTAGCCTCAGTCATCACCGGAGTGCGATGGACCACAGCCCAGCTAGCCATTCAGAAAGAGGAACTAGGTATACGCACACACATGCACCACTGATACACGCGTTGTACCGAGTTAGCCGCATACTTTCGCAGTGTGTTGGGGAATAGTGTAGCCCAGAAACATACAGTGGAACTCCTCTGATCGGGAGACCAATGTGACGGAAGAAAGTGTCCATATTAGTGAGATGTCCTCGCGGGTCGAATTGTATGCAAGAAACTGCTGTAACAGTAGAAATCAGTGGGGTGACTATAGATTTCTTCTTAGCAACTTCAATTGTGTCATAATGCTGCACTATGTATACTATTTATATAGCACTCGGCCTAAAAGGTAATTAATGGTGTGTCGTGTGTCGTAACGGTACCGTTGTTTGTTGAGAGACGGCAGTGGGTTAAGTACGTCACTGACCTCGGCTCTGGCGCGGAAGATCCAGACCGTGAATATCATTACCGGCCATCCGCATCGAACGTGCTTGTTTTCAAGATTAGTCAAAGCATGTTGGTTGGCTGTGTTGTCGACGGACTGAATTAGTTTCACCCTCTCTGGGTCCTCCCACATGTGCAATCCTATGGCCCTATGCATGTTTATGTTTATGGGGCTGTGTACTGGCAGCTACAGTATTAACTTTCTCTTACTTTCGGAGTGAGCAAGAAGGAATTCGATATCCGTGTGCTGTCTCTCCACCTCATATGGCACTGTGCCACGTTTGACTTTCATCAGGAAATCAAATAGAGATATTCACTGGAATTGCCAATGTAGTGCGGCGAAGGGCGGAATGGTTGCTGTTTGTATGTATGTCAGCTGGCTCAATGAAGACAAACACGTTTGCTCATTGCATCAGCTGCACATACTTACGTACATAATTATACATTTTATGACGGGTGAATTCTGTGAATCCGCGTTCTTATTAAAAGTGAAACGACAGAAGAAGGGTTAAGCCATCTCGGAGACGAGTGTGTGTTTCGATTCTGACGGCTGTGGACCATCGCTGTTTTTGTTGTTTTGGTGGTTTTAGAATGTCATGGGAGACTCTCTTCGTCAGTTTCCCACCTTCTCCATCTCTCTCCCACTTTCTCCATCTCTCTCCCATCCTCACCGCTCCGTCATTGATGTATGTCCACACACTTGTTTTCTGAAACAGCGCGTGTGTGATATAGTATCCACATGAACCATGTCCGCGTTGCGTCAGATCAACTTGTTGACGTCTCCACCTGCAGGTCTGTCAAATCCAGTTGACACCGTGTTTCATCTTCAACCGGTCATGATCCTCACTCTCCTACCACTGGCCATACTTGTTGATGGTTGGCCCCTCTCCCTCCTCTTCTTTCTCTTTCCCCATTTCCACTCCCTCATATTCCTCCCTCCTCTTCTCTCTCCCTCTGCTTCACTCTTTTTCTCCCACTTTTATCTCCTCCCCCTCTCTGTTTCAAGGGGTCCACATAGGAACTTCTGAGGTAGTCTTCAGAGCCAGTTCATTTCAGGAGCTCCTCTGGACCTCCGTCATCATCCTCACGGCCTCCGTCGTGGCATTTGGTCTCGGGACCTCGGATATCTCCTGGTCTACCACACCTCCGGACTTACCCTCTCCGTTGCCGGGGTACTAAAGGTGGGCTTTATTTAGGTTGAGCAATGGGTATATAGTGTACCCATATTCTGTGTATGTGGAGTTGAAAGCAGAGTTCCTCAAAGACGGTCTATATGTAGTGTGTGGAGTTTTGGTCAATACCCAATGGCGCCACTTGTACATACAGTAGTGCAGTTACAGTTTTGCCTGGTAAGCGGAGGGTATACCATACGTTAGTGGTACTCTCTTTCACTGTTCATTGTTGGTGCTATTGTGAGTATATGAATGTGTTATGTGGCCATGAATAATGCCATTCAGGCATTATGGAGTGTAGGGAATTGCATAATGTATTGGTGTATATAACCCTGATGGCTACTATAGTGCGTGCTGAACATGCTTTTAGTTAGTAATTGGTGCTATAGAAAGTACTCACAAAGGCATCCTCTGAATCACTCATTAATTAGTCTACCTGCTGCTACTAGTAGAGTGGGTGTGATCACAGGCTGAAAGTGTTGTTGCCCCAGTTGGCGGGACTTGTTGATGGTCTTGCATGTACGTGTGTGTGTGTGTGTGTGTGTGTGTGTGTGTGTGTGTGTTGGAGGTGAAAGGTTTTTGTACATGAGCTGACTCCTAAAACTGAAGTTTCGGCTAAAATATGCTTTGGCGGTAGCTCCACACTTTCTATATGAAAGGCACACTGAAGATAACAACAAGTCTTATGTACCCAGCAAGTTTTCTTGGGTGTGCATCATAATTACGTATGAGTCTGCAAATGTAGATCAGCTTTAGTGCAAGAATAGACATTCGACACTAGACATGCAGAAAAATGGGAAAAAGGAACGCATGTTAATTTCTTGCTCACAGTGTGTGCTATGTTTAACCCTCTGCTCACGGTATGCACTGTATTTAACCCTCTGCTCACAGCTATATTTAAAATCCTCTTCTTCCCACCGTTTGCAGGAGGTGATAATCCTGACCGTCTCCACGGTGTACTGGGAGGAAGACACCTTATCTCCTGTCAACATTCTGGGAATGGTGGTGTGTGTGGGTGGCATAACTCTCCACGTCTTCTTCAAGATACTCAGAGCTAGAGGTTCGGTCTCTAGCCAGTGACGTCATCATTACATCACATCATTTAGATTGCCCACATACATACCCATAGATTCGTGTACATATTGCTGTGTTTTGCCATGTTTTTCTGTGTGAGCTGTAGTTGCAGCAGCACACGCACACTCTCTGTCTCTGCTCTCTCTCTCTCACACGCGCACACGCACACACACCCTCCCTCCCTCCCTCCCTCTCTCTGTCTGTCTCTCTGAACAGAAGAAGAGAAGAAGAAGAAGGTAATGTCCAGAGGAGAAGCAGCGGTACAGCTGCTGCCAGTCTCCCGCAGTAACCACAAGTTCTCTCGTGAGGACAGTGAGAGTGGAGACAGCGTCAGTGTCTACGAGTCAAGAAACCTATAGCAAAAATCACCCCCTCCTCTTCCTTACTCCCAATGATACTCTCTTCTACCATTCCGTCCTTCATTTCACCATTTTTGGTCACTCAATTCAATTGCATCCATGATGAAGGTCAACAATGGTTTTAGTGATCAAACACAAGAAAAACTCTCTCTTGTGATAAATGTTTAAGTGCCCCCAAAACTCTGTTAAAAATGATGTGTGATGGTTGGAAAATATTTAGAAGACAAATAGTCCGGACATATATACAGTCTATGTGTGTGGACACGTATCGAGACAGTGAAAGAGTGTGAGAGATAAAGGAGAGAGAGAGAGTTTGAAGATGGCGGCAGCTAGACGTTGACGAGCATGCGGCGGTGGAGAGTTGTGTGGTTTGGAGACTTGAACGGAGACAGCCACCGGAGACCAGGAGGACCGCCAAACACCTCTGACATACTGTCATACCTGCAAACATATCAACACAGTCTGGAACCCCATATACAGTGGAACCCCTCTCTAAAGACACCCCTGAAATGAGGACACCTCTCTAATAGAGTATATATTTCCTCCAAGAACAGTGTCTTGCACAAGATTTAACCCCTGAAATACAGACACTTCATTAGTATGGGCATGTTCTTTGGATTATGGTTCACTTGAACAACACCATGTACAATGTCCCACCATTTTTGTCTGTGTCTATTCTCCTTTTTCAGTGACTCTATACCCTGTGATGGGAGCACATTACACACCATTACACACAGAATTGGGTGGAGAAAGAAAAGAGTAAAGTATAAAGAAAAGAGTAAAGTATAAAGTAAAGAGTAAAGTAGAAAGTAAAGAGTAAAGTATAAAGTAAAGAGTAAAGTATAAAGTAAAGAGTAAAGTATAAAGTAAAGAGTAAAGTATAAAGTAAAGAGTAAAGTATAAAGTAAAGAGTAAAGTATAAAGAAAAGAGTAAAGTATAAAGAAAAGAGTAAAGTTGAAAGTAAAGTAGAAAGGGAGAGAAGAGAGGGAAGACAAGTCCTACCGTCTCGTCAGTGCATATGGCGTGAATCTGGGTGCAGAACATGATGCAAGTGAAGAGAGAGAAGAGAAATCCGAGAAAGACTCCCATTAGTGTGAGGACAAACACCAGAGGGCCCGGCATCAGAGCATCACAACCTGAAGTCAGTCACAGTATATATATATACATACACCACAGGTACAAATGGTGGCATGCAATAATGGGGACACCTTGACGACGTCAAAAGTGCCGCATTCAGAGGTGTCTTACTTAGTGATGAGGTAGAAACAAGTGTCCTTTATGGATGAGGTATATATGCTTTGTCCAGAGGTGCTTACCTTCAAAGTTTTGAGTGGCACAGGTGTAGAAGAACCAGGCGACAGTGAGGAGGCCGTAGACTGACATGACCATGATGTAGAACTGAGGGTGTGTGAGAGAGGGGGGGGGGAGTAATTGAACATGTTCTCAATAGGAAATGAATGCACTGTTCCAAAGAAGGCGCAAACTGTGAGAACACAATTGCAGAGACTCACCGTGAAAAGAACAAAGTACTTTTGGTTGTTCTCGCCCACACAGTTGTTAACCCTACATCACAGCCAAAGAGAGAGAGAATGCAGTTTCCCTAAGAACAGTTCTTGCATGCAAGTGAACCCCTGAAATAAGGACACCTCACTAATATGAAGACTTCTTCTCTCCCATTAGTGTCTAAATTAGAGGAGTTCCACTGTGCATAATGCCCTCTCTCCCCCACTCACCACGGACAGTGATGATCCATTCTGTGAATGCAGTTTTCGCAGGTACTGCAGTGGTGTGCCCTGTCTGGTTTTATACTGCGACATCTCTTGCAGTAGCGGATGTCCTCTCCCTTCTGCCTCCTCTCCAGCACCTCCTCCTCCGACGTCCTTTCTCTTGCAACCACTCCCTGTATGTAACAAGTGTGTAATACACATCTGACATGGTATAATATAATATAGCTGGTGTATTCGTAAGCTCACTCGGTATAAGATATGTACACGTAAGTGGAGGCAACGTCATTTCCACACACGCACACACACACACACACACGAGGAAGATTCAGCCAGTGCGTACTACTACAGTACAATTACAAAGTGCTTAGGCCAGTAAGATATTTTCTACAGGAAGAAGAACTAAAACACCTTGTCTGGACGTACCTCGCCCACTATATGTTCGTGCATAGTTCGTGTGTACATACTACGTATACTTTTGGCTCACAATCACCCCCTGTGTCCTGTGTAGTACTTTACAACACACACACAAACATAAGACGTACACTACACACATTGTGTAGTACTTTACAACACACACAAACATAAGACGTACACTACACACATTGTCTGTCGGCCAGTTTTTCAAACGAACCGAGGAACCAATACAACTGCAAATATTTCCCGTTTTCGGTTTTACTACAACACACACGATCAATATCGGGAGGAATGTGCAATATACTCACTGGATCTGTAAGCATTGATCTCACGTGAGCCACCACGGCAAGGCCCCCGAGGGCTGAAAATCCGAGAACCCTCAGAACAGTCCAGGTTCCCGGGAAGGGCGGGGCTATGACGGTGAGCATCACGAACTGGCCGTACAGGACCAGTAGATAGGTCATGACGGCGCACACGATCCCGCACGGATCGCACACGAACCACACGCTCTTGTTTTTCAAGAAAGCCATCCTCATAAAACGGGCACGAGTCTTTCCCGACGGGGCGTAAGCGTCGTTTCTGTAGTGCACGATTTTCCGGGCGTCTCCCGAGCCGCACAGCTGTTCCTCTTCGTTCTCCTCCTCGTCCTCCGAGCTGTCAGTCATAAGGGCCAGCGCTGGAGGATCGGAAGATGGTTCCACGGCCTCCGGCAGCCGACCCGGCTCTGATGTACGAAGGCGCGCAATAATTGGAATTTTCACACGCAGGGAGAGGCACGTGACGCACGGTGGGCGTGGTTTATTTCTATGGCAATAAGGACCTGCGCAGTAACAAATCGTCTTCAGCGCGATCGCTCGACCGAGCCGGCGACAGAATGATCACCTCTGCGAGCTCTAGACCACCGAGCGAGCGGCCGTCCTACACCCCCACTCCCTCGCTTGGCGGCCGAACGACCCCCTCGTCTCTCTCCTCTCTCCTCAGACCGTCTACAGCCGACACTAGGTAAGAGACAGAGCTAGAGAGAGAGACTTATCACTCCATTTCTGCTACAACAGGGAGCAAGGTGTGCACATCAGGCACGGTGTTCTTCCGACGTACACCTTTCGTGTCGGAGAGGGAATCCAAAACGTTCTATTTCGTCCCTCAGTCCCTGAATCCGTGGTCCTCAGTGGCGACTACTGCTACTCCTTCGCCCGGGGAAAGAGAAAGGAGAAATGGTTGCTAGAGTCTGGAGACGGAGAGAGGCCGGAAGAACTATTGAAGCTGCTCTATGCGTCTCATCACAACGTTTACGTCGGAATCTGCACAACCACTATAAAAGTTAGCTCTTGCTCCAGTTTTTCTTGTGCATCAACATCTGTGCATCGTATATAGCTGTACAACCAGCAGTTTCAGTGTTACTTTGAAGCCAGAACCGAGAGAGAAATTGTCAGGTAAAGGTTTTTTATTGGCTGTGCTGAGCTTTATCCCCCCTCTCTCTCTCTCTCTCCTCTCTCTCTCTCTCTCTATTCTTGACACTGTAGTGCGGTCTACAATGAGAGTTCTGCAGGAGAAATCATTACCGGCAGTCAGGGCTCCATCACGGTAAACACCTTGTAATATGCATGCTTATTTATCTACCCTTTCTACAACAGATCTGGACATTTCGTCAAGGTGGCAAAAAGATTGCCCCAGCACAAATCATTGTGGTAAATCTCAGCACACACAGATATATGCATTGCTTAGTGATTCAAATACATTTGACTATAGGAAGGTCTGGGAGATAATGGAAGTGGTCCAGTGAGTGTTCTGCATATGGAGGATGTGCCAGGCAGAGCTCAGCGCTGCTTTGCCGCAGTCAACTCCGGGATCAGGGTATGTACCAAGCTTCTTCATGCAGTTTGTACATCACGTCGTGCGCTGTTTTCCCTGAGCAGGTGTATCAGGTGTGCAGTGGTCGTCTCCTCTCCTCTCACCCCTCCCTCCATCACTGCACACTCTCTGCCCTCCTCTTCTTCAGACCACTCACTCTCCTCCTCTCTGCCGACACTGACGGAGCCAGTGAGTAACTTACTACTTCCACGTAAATTTGTAGATTGTGGAAAAATTTCGCATAACATTTTTTGCCTCTCTATCCAAGTTAGCTTCTGAAAGACATACATTTTCTCCATTTTCTCCAATTTACTCCTTTGAAACTTTGAAATTCATTCTTCCCTGTCTTCCCCAGTCAAAGTGTGGGACACCAGTTGGAGACTTTGCTGTACGTTCATCAGTCATCGCGAGGCAGTCACTGCCCTCTCCCCTTACCCCCACGGACCCCTGGTAATCAGCGGCTCATTGGACTCCACTCTATGTGTATGGGACCTCACTTCCCAAGACCAGGTGGACTGGTGAGTCAACCAATCAGTAGCAACTGCAGCAGTAAACCTTTAAGGGAGAAAACTTTTTGTGTATTTCGGGAGACATTCATGAAAATTTGTGTGGACAAGCCTACTAAATTTCACCATGCAAGTCCTGTTACTACATGCAGTACGCATCTTCATAACATTTCTCCCTCTTTATTCCCTCTCACCCTCTCTCTGCTGCTTCCATTGGGCAGTCTGGACAATGGTGCTCCTGTACATGGTCTCCACTCCTCACCAGGCACTCCTCACATCCTCACACACTCACACACCCTCGTGAGGGGCTGGCGGGTACAGCAGCTCTACAAACGTTCTGCCATCATCGGACGCGAGATTCTCTCCCTCTCTTCCACCACTCACCCTCTGGTTCCACGGAGACTCCTCGCCAGTTGTGCTGACTCGGCGGTCAGACTGGTTTGTCCAGTCGGAGGTCACGTCATCACGACTGCTCTCCTGCCTCCTGGACAGCGTGTGCTCTCTCTCATACACTTCCCTCTCACTGGTGAGCAGCATACTCTATGGAACCTTTTCTGGTTTCATGACTTGTGAGCCATCTGACAATTTTTCTCTGCAAGCCCATGAAATTAGTAACCCACAATTCTCCAATTCCTTAAGCGTTTCCCCTCAACAATTGTCTCTAATGTGATAGTAGGTGCAGTCTTGGTTGTACATGGTATAGATCTCGTTTCATCATTCGACATCCCCCTTCTCTCTCCTCTCTCTCTCTCAGAGTCACTGTATGTCCTAGAGAAAGGCGGGACTGTCACAGTGTTCAACACGTCTCAGACTCCCTCTCCAGCCACTGCTCATTGGACTGCCCCTAGCAGTCTTGGCCAGTTCACGTGTCTGGCTCACTATGAGCAAACCATGGATGAGGTATACATACACATTTAACGGAGCTCCCATATGCAGTACAGAAACTTAGAAAAGAGCCTTTTTTCAGTGAAACCTTTTGCACTCCACTGCCCACGAAATTCGTATTTTCTTTTTTCTACGGTACAGTGAAAGGTTAATTGCTCGGAATTTCTTGCTCACCTCTCTATGTACCTATCTCTCCTCCCTGTGGACTTGGTGTATTGTATAGGAAGACATTGAGGAGATGCTGGCTGAGGATAGGTGGCTGGGTGTGGTGCTGGAAGCTCGGAAACTCTCCCGGTTATCGCTCTACACCAAGGATCCCCTGACTGTCCAGAGAGAGGGGATGTCCCTGCTATTAGCTGGTACTAACGAGGGCCACATTGCACTGATCGATCACACCACCGGTGACGTTCAGTTTCACCTCAAGGTCAGATACTTCTGGAAAAGGAACCTTCCACCTCTCTTTTAATTCTGCCTCAAAAATATACATTAGTGACCTCTGAATAAAGTAATCTTTCAATGCCCCTTATTTAAAGATTTCACTGGATGTATAATACTGGAAAAAATTTGCCCCATTTAGGTTCACTCAGGGACCAGTGACACTTCTAGCATGTGATGCAAAACAAAACTACATCTTCTCTGCATCCAATGGTCAGTAAACATGTGCCTCACTCACCGTTGGAGGGTAAAAATTTGGTAAAAATAAATCGACCACGAAGGGATTCGAACCCTCAATCTTCTGATCCGAAGTCAGACGCCTTATCCATTAGGCCACGCGGTCTGCATGTCATGCCTGCCCAGGTCTCCAATACAAACTTGCACAATAGCAAAAGACGAAAATGAAAAAATCGACCGCGAAGGGATTCGAACCCTCAATCTTCTGATCCGAAGTCAGACGCCTTATCCATTAGGCCACGCAGTCGACACATTTTCTCTGTGCAGGTATAATCATTTTTCGTTTCATTTGCAGATTGTCAGATTTTCATATCAAAACTTCACCCACACATCCAAGAGTCTATTTCGCTGATGATGTCATTTGATGTCACTTTCTGTCCGAGTTTTATCTGCATCACTCCAGACCGGGTGGGTGTGGCTTGCAATAACCACGCCCACTCCAGTTTCACTATCGATATGTACTCCCTACAAGACAGAGGTGAGGGGAACAGTGAAAAACTCCGAATAATGGACACACTGGGACTGTATTGTAGGGGTTACTGAATACACTACAGTTTTAAACCAGACTGCAATAAGAGTCCTTTAATCAGAGGCGTACATCCTTTATTCAGAGGGTTAAAGAGAATATGTCATAGAAGTTTCCAATAATAGAGGTTCCACTGTGTTTTAATGCTCTCCATTGCAGCCTCTTTTACCGGTGATCCAGAGAATAGTCACCAGGCAGCCATTACTGGTCTGGCTCCATTTCCACGACTGCACCTGTTTGCATCTACCGGTCTGGACCGCACGCTGCGAATATGGACCGCCAACAACCACCCAGTGCGGTACGGTATGAAGCCACTGGAATAAGGGACACACCATTGAGAGATCGAAACTGTCCTTTATTCAGACGTGAAATTAGTATGTACAAGAGTGTGTAGGGGTGCCAGAACTAAAGTGTTCTGTATCGTTTTTGGAGGGTCCTTTCAGAAGTTTCAGGGTAGCCAAACAAGTGACTTCTCTCCCTGCCTCCCTCTCTCCCTCCCTCTATTCCAGAGTGCTGCAGTTGGATGGATCTCCCTCAAGTCCAGTCTTCTCCTCTCCGTCAGCACACCTCACACTATCCCTCCTCAGACACCTCCACTCCATCGACCCCTCCACCTGTTAGTCCTCTAATGTTGATTGGGAAAATTTTCCTCTCAACTATACTGCATTCAATTCTCCCAGATCTTCCCGAGCAGCTGCTGAATCAACTCGTCTCCATGACTACCGACGACGTGGAAGAGACGCCGCCACGTGAGATGATCTCTGACCTTTCAACTCTGACCCCCGAGGATCTGGAGAGGCTTGAAGTGGTTGACGACACCATTCAGCAGTGAGTATACTCACTACCTTAGGTTCATACAGCAAGTGACCAACTCCAATTTGAATGTCTATTGCACAGAAAGTAGCATATTCCCAACATGTACCGGCCAGTAGCTAATCCTCGTCTTTCCGCCATGGTTCTCTTTGTTTCAAGCACAACAACATCGTCGTCCTACAAACAATAGATTATGGTGAAGTCTCTCTTCTCTCTCCATGCAGAGAGGCTTATAAAGGAGCACTGTCGGTGGAAGAGATGACAGAGCTGGAGGATATTGCCAGGGAGAAGGCTGCGGGGATGTCCCTGCTCGTTGAGAGAGATAACGAGATCAGGGGAATCCTTAATGGTACCCTCCTTGCATCTAGGTAAGCCCCTCCGAATGAATTATCGGCGTTTGGAATCACACTGTCCGACTCTTGCTGCAGAAGAGGGCGGGGCTCCGAGCGAGAGACAGGGAGAGGGCGTGGCAGGCGGTGCTCTCTCTCTTCCACCCTCGTCGTCTCCGCCCACCAATCAACATTCCTGAGGATGATGATTTTGACCCGGACACGTATGGTCAACCCAAGGCACCTGTGGAACCATGTGAGCAGTAGTAGGACACATAGCTGATTGCAGAGTAGTTCAGGACACTTGTTTTAGGACACCTCATGCTTTAGTTAGGACACACCTTTCAGGACACCTCATTCAGCCGTGCATTTTCTTCTCTTTTCAGACTCTTCCTACCGGAAAGGACCACGCCTCTCTTTCTTCCCTCCCCTGGCGACCTTTGAACCTCCCTATCCCGTAGCACCAGACGGAATACTTCCTAACTCCGCCCTACTCCAGGTACAGCACATACATTCAGGGTACAAGATTTTGATGGACTTAACTCCGACTGTATTTTTTTTCAATCGTGGTTGGAAATTGCTATTCGCTGTGTGCAGTTGCTGAGGAAGAGTGAGGCAGACGTGGCACTGGCTCAGACGTGGGCTCCTCCTGTCCTCTCTGACCAGCAGAGGAGACTCATGGCTGAGATGGAGGACGAGGTGTCTCTCTCTCTCTCCTCTCTCTTCTCTTTTTCTCCTCTCTCTTCTCTTTCTCTCCTCTCTCTTCTCTTCCTCTCTCTTCTCTCTCTCTGTCTCCTCTCTCTCTCTCTTCTCTCTCTCTCTCTCTCTTCTCTCTCTCTCTCCTCTCTCTTCTCTTTCTCTCCTCTCTCTCTCTCTTCTCTTTCTCAATCGAGTGACAGTATGTATGTGTATCCACTGTGTACAGGTTGAGGAGGAAGAAGAGGACTCTGACCTCCAGTCACAGCTCCAGGCTGCGCTGGACGCTGACTACACCAGTCCTCCCGCCTCTCTCTCCCCCACCCCTCCCCCTTCTCCCCCTCCCGATCCTGTCAGGGTAAACACACACACACACACACACACAACGCCAATTGAAATTGGTGGCAATTGGAAATATTGTGGCTTAAATTTCATGGCTCATATTATATACCTTTCTCCACAGAGGAAGATCGTTCCTCTCAAGCTTGAGAAGCTTGTTGCTCCTCCAAAACCTACTCCGTGAGTCTCTCTCAACCCTGTACTGCATGGTGTTAACCCTGGGGTAATTTACTCCACCCAGACCCCCACGAACTCTGACCCCACCCCCTCCGAAGTCCCCCACCCCACCTCCTCCTCCCCCAACCCCGCTACCCGAGTACATCGCTCAGTTTATCAGTCGGCAGTGGTTCGACAAACTCTACCCCAATGCCAACTCGTCCGTAAGTGGTCAAGTTTTTTTTAACTCTATCAAGTAATTGGTATAAGCTTTTATGAAAATGTATGCCTATTGTGCCTTAATGTGCTGTGCATAAAAGTACAAACATAGAATTTCGCCACTTTCAGATCATTTTACTGGTGTGGAATACAGTGAAATGTATGTACTTCTCTCTCTCTCTCTCTCTCATCACCAGACGTTCCCACGGCCATGGTCCGTGACGCGGTTCATCATGTCTCTCCTCTCACATCTCTCCAGAGCCAGTCTCGACTCCTTCACCAAGACCGACATCTGCCTCGTCAGTTGACTCCACACCCCTACGTCCCTCTTTGGTCTCCAAAATTTGTTTTCTCCACAAAATTACCAAAATTCAAAATCGCTCAAAATTCAAAGGGTCACAATCCTGTGATAAAAAACCTTTGTGAAGGATAGTAATGCATTTGTTTTAGTGTACCAAGCACACCTACCTGCCAACCACATTTGTAAAACCTTTTAATTATGAGTGATTCGAGTTTGTTACGAACACAATATTTTGGAGATGTTTAGCTCTCTCTGTCTTCATCAGGCGATCCACCACCTCCTGCGGTCCCACTCTCCCTCCAACACCGATGACATCCACCGTACAGTCCTGGACCAACTGACCACGCCCCCTCGCCCCTCCCTCCTCAACCCCTCCCACCGTCCCCTTGTCACCGCTTCACTCTCTCTCCTCTACCACATGAACACTCTCAGTGAGACACCCTCCATCCCTCATTCACTCTTTCACAAAACCTGAAAACACTTCGTAGATGGCCCTCTCCTTCAATTGTTTCCTGCATGCTGTGTAGCCGGCACTGATTGCTTTGCAGTGAATAGCACACATACGCACAACCACGAAAAAACTCTTTACTAACTGTATGTAAGATACATGTATATACTAGAGTAGAGTGCATTGAGCGGGAGTTGAGTGTGCGTGCGAGGATCTCGCGAGACAGCGAGCAGCAGGACGAGTTGAGAACCAGGGTTTGTATGTACTGACTTCATCTCATTACAGGTCCAGCATTGGTGGTAGTGGGTATGTTGGCCAGTGTGGAAGAGAGAGGAGGAGGAGGGGGAGGTGGAGGGGTAGTGGAAAGAGAACTTGTGGCGTGGTTGGAGAGGAACGGAATGGAAGATCCTCACGGCTATTTCACCAGACACCTGGCTCACACTGCCACCTCTCAACAGGTCTATAAATACAATAGGTTGCACTAACTAGAGTTGTACACAGCATCAGAGCTGCAACGCACATGATTTTCACGATGCATAAGGGCTAATATTTGGATTTACGGAAATCGTGCTGGGAAATTTAGCTACATTACTCCCATACATTAGCTATGGGAGTATGGGAAATTATGTAAATTAGTACTGAGGTTTACAGAATGAACTTGGCAGCTCGAATGTATAATATATATATATATATATCAGCCTGAAATATCTTTTGGATTAGACTGGTCCAGAGCTACACGGAGCGGTGGAAAGGTGGCTGGAGGACTGGGCCACTCGAGAACACACCAGTCGACAGAACAAGAGACTTCAGCCACCGCCTACCAACAGAGGTCTGTCCGTCCCGCTTCCTCCCTACCTCACTGTGTTCATGTGACATAATATGGTGTTCCTCTGTCCAGGAAATAAGGCCAGCAAGAAAAAGGTGATCTTTTCGCTGTAGATGAGCAAATGTTAAGCATTGATTGTGTGTGTATAGGCCGGGGTAAAAGGGGTTTCCCCATTGCTGAAGTGTAATGTGATTGACGTCATCAACTACTTTATTCGGATCGAGCACGAGAACGAACTGAAAAAGTAAGATCAAACTCTCGAATTGCTGTGTAGCTCGTAGCTACGTGTGGTTAATGCAGACGAGTGGTGACTCCACCCCCTGCCCCGCCCCCTGAGCCAGAGGAGGAGCTGCCTCACAACACAGTCCTCACACTCCCCAGAATCACCAGGTCACTCATCCTCCCATAGCATGATAATTAACCAGTACTGCTCCCATGTATGTGTACGTGTGTGTGTGTGTGTAGGAGTCGCAGAGTGGCCAGACTGGGAGAGACCCACTGTAGCTGCTGTCACCCTGAGAGAGAAACATCCCTATGTAGGTCCACCATGTGCTACCTCTTACACAGAGAATCTAGAATAGAATCGATTCAGCAGTCAAGTAAAACATTTCACCAATTATTGTTGCTGCCCTGTTGTAGAATTTGAGAAAACGTCTGTTAATGCACACCAGTGACAAAATATTTTCTCTCAAGTAAGACCCTCTCGGCCCGAAAGACCTCCAAATAGTTTTCAACCTCAAAATATTCAGTAATCGTGCACATAGACCACTGCCTCTCTCTCTCTGTTAACCCAGACCACCGCCTGCCACCAGTCAGTCGTCCCTCTCATCCCGCCCACCTCTTGTCCGGCTTCTCCCGGACTCTCTCCCTCGCCATGAGACCCCAGACCATCAACCCTTTCCTCACCGAGGAGGAAGAGGAAGAGGCTGCTGCCCAGTCGCGACAGGCTCCACCCACTATGACATCACTGATGAAGTATTTCATACCAGAGCTATCAGTGGTCCACAACCAGGCACCCTGAACTGCCCCCCTCACTGTGACTAGAGATTTCTCTCTCTCGCTTCCAGTTTGTCAAAAGAGTGTTTTTATTTCTCACGTGACATTCAATTCATGATTGGTTCAAATTTTTATATCATACAAAACGCAAACTAAAAAATCATGACTTTTACAAAACTAATGTGCTGATCTAGTCAAAATATATCATTGTGTGATGAAAATTTCTATTTCACATCCACATGGGTAGACTGAGCGCTAAAAAGTCAGGAGTTTGGCCAGTCGTCAACTAGACATCCGAGAGACGAATTTGAGAGCTGTCATGAACGACGTGAGACAAATCCCTCTTCACCCTTCACATACCTGGGAACGGGGGAATGGGAACATGGGAACATGGGACATGGAACAAAAACACAAGGACATGTAGCATAAAATCAGCACGTGACATTCGACATGGAAAAACAAGTATTATACTAAAAGACACCACATTTTCCAGTTGTTAATTATACCATTCAGTGAGTTCAGTGAGTTCAGTGTACAGTCCGCAACACTCAGCCATTACTATTACATACGACGACTCACCCTTCTTGAATGAACTCTTCCATCAGAGCAGTCTCAGAGACCAGCTGTGGGAGGGCTGCACGGATGATGACGTAGCTCATGATGGGAAGAATGTCGTCCACTCCTCTATCGGAGGGAAGGAGGGAGAGAGAAGGAACATCGGAAAAAGATAACCATATCCACAGAGGTAAATACACACCAGCCAATACACTAAAGTCCTCATTCAACATTGTCAACAATATACTTCATATAGAGGCTTATGTTAATACTCATACAGACGTATTTTTCAACTGCATATTGTACGCTAGGAAAAGTCGGGATAAAATTGATCTGTAGCTATTTGGCAATCTAGCAGTAGAGCACTGCACACACAAGAGTTAAGACTCACACTCCGTAGTCGACGGCTCCCTTTGGCTGGCCCTGAGTCTCATAGTATTGGTCAATACATTGGACCAATGTCCGAGAGGTGGTGACGAGGCAAGTCAACTTGGCACTGGGGGAGTGGAGGTCCGGTACACGACACAGCTCGGTGATGGCTTCGTGATAGGGAGGAGACGACTGTGAGTGGAGACAGAGATTAATGAATATGCACAGCAGAAATTGCGAAAAAAGCCCATACCTGCTCAAGGAGCCAGAACTTCTTCCTCACGTCCAAGTCTTTCGGGTGACGTTGACATGACGACACATGTTCCTGGCTGTGGCCACCTCCTCGGCGTAGTTCCGGGAGCGGTAGGCGGCGAGGAGAGGAGGGAGGAGGGCGGGGAAGAAGAGGGATTCCAGGACCAGCTGGGTCTCCTCTGTCTGGGGAGACTGGTACAGTGTTGGGTAGCAAGTCGTGAACAGTGTCTCCAACATCTCTGAGAGAGAGAGAGAAGAGCAACACAGACACTTATTCTCTTATGGACTCAAATTTCATGGATTTTTTCCTAAAATGTGACCAACATTCTCAATTTCCTAATTAGCAAGTGGTGGGCACTAAATAGAGTCCTGACTGAGCAAGTGGTGGGCACTAAATAGAGTCTCCACTGACCGAGTGAGGAGTGTACAAGTGCCACAGCCTGTTCCAGAACAGGTTCCGCCGTGGACTTCAGCGACTTCATCTCTTCCTCTCGGCCGTAGTAGCAACGACAGGAGAGAGGGACGAGGCTACTAAACACAACCTCTTCCTCTTCTTCCGGCTCCTGTGGGGGAGGAGGGGGACGACTGAACATGCCTCCATCGGGAACGTCTCTCTGTAGTCGTTGGTCATTACTGGAGCCCTCTCTCGCAAGGTTGGGTCCGTCTGGTTGGTCTTTAGCGGCTGTTTCTCCTTCTTCTTCTTCTTCTTCTTCTCTGAGAACGTGGAGTTGAGTGAGTCTGCCTCCATCCACACACCACCCCCCTCCCCCATCTTCTCCTTCCTCTGTACCACCAAATGACCCACCATACCCGCACTCTCCTCCTCCCTCTTCTCCCTTCTCCTCCATTCCCACCAGGTGCAGCAGCTGTGTCACACACCTACCTCCATCTTCACACTCTCCCCCTCCCCCCTCCACCCCTCCCTCCTCGTTTTTCCCACTCACACAACTCTCCAGCTCTGCCCGCAGCATTGATAACTTGTCTTCTCCCTCATCCTGCCCCCTCGCATCTCCACTGACTTCGTTCTGACCCCCGGGGGGCAAATCTGTGGGGCCCACAACCAGTGACGAAGACGTTGAAAGCGTGAACAACTCGTCTTCATTTTCGCTGTCGCTGTTCAAGTAAAGTAGGTCCAGTCTGTTCATACCGTCTTCCGTTTGAAGGGTGAGAGTTGGAGGAGGGGTGGGGAGGGGAGGGTGTGAGGATGTGAACTCGGTGGGGGTGGGTTGGGAGGGAGTGGGGAGTGGGGAGGACATTGTTCGCATCTTCATCTTCCCCAGATCACACCCAGTAGGGCTGGGGGTGGGTTTTTCAGTGATGACCATCCGAGGCATGTCATCTCCGGCCTTCTGCCTGGCGGAGTGGAGTGGCTTGAGGAGAGTGAAGATTTCCAGCTGGTACTCTCCCAGGAGACGAGAGAGGGGGTGGTCAGGGTTGCTGAGAAGAGGAGAGAGTCAGTCAATAATGTAGTACGCCACACTCTAGAGATGGTATATGCTGGAAAAGTGCCTTGGCCTTAATTCACCCGAGTTAACAGTTCCCTACCTGAGGATATCGTTGACGAAATTGTAGACTTCCGTTGCAGTAGAGACAGTAGGGGAGGCGGAAGAGGAGGGAGGAGAGTGGGAGGAGTTACTGGCAGAAGGAGGATGTGCTGTGAGACGGTTCCTTAGGTTCTCCAGTCGCTCATGTCTCTCACTCAGCCGCTGCTTCAGGGCAGACAAGATTGGGAAATGCTGGAGAAGAGAGAGAGGCTGGGTTCACTCAAATGTAGCATTGCCCTGACACCCTGCGAATGTATATACAAATGAACGCAGCATGGCACGCATTTTGTGTCACTTGTCTTTGGGCAACTATATTGTGCATCATCTAGTCAGAGAAGAAAGGAGAGAGAGAGAGAGAGAGAGAGAGAGAGAGAGATCAGTGACGACCACACTGGGACACGTGTTTTACCCCAACACATTATACCACAGCACGCAGGCTGAAAAGACGGAAGACTCAAGTTCTCCATTGAACCGCGTACTTGAACCATTCTAACACAACAGGTCAACTAACAAGTGTGTACTGTGTTCACCACCTCTAACTACAGTACCTTGCCGTGTTCAAAGGAGGCGACCTGTTCCCGCAGTTCCTCCACACTCAGTTGACTCAGTCTCATCACCTGGGCTTTCCTCGACCCAGCCCTGCATTACAGACACAGCACATACTCTCTTATTGTACATCCAGATTCTTGCAGGCCATCATTGTCATGTTCAGTATAATAATAGAAGAGTAGTGAATGTGATAATTATATTGTACACCTGGTGTCGGATTGTTGCTGCAGTCTCATCTGCCGCTCCCTCGCCTTCCTTGCCAGCTGGCCACACCCTCTGGTCAAGGAAACACAGGGGGAACATACTATTACCATGTGGGTGACAATTAAGTTTGGCAATTTTGCCCGATCAACAGTCAAATCTGGCGGTCACTCTGGACTGCACATTATGTGTGTCCGTCATTTTGAATGGCATTTCAAATGGAAAGGGATACATTCTGTTCTCTGATCTTAGCCACGCTAATGTTCTCTTCCAGTCTCCTCAGCATACCCAGACCCTGTGCACAGAGAATAGAGAACAGAGACATTACCACAGAGTACTGTGTTGGTGTGTGTCCATGTGCATCAGAGTTACCAAAAACTACGGAGTTAAAACTACAGTGGAACTCCTTGAACCTGAAAATCAATGTGACAGAAGAAAGTGTCCGTATTATATCAAGACCACCATTATTGTATGCAAGAAACTTTTCATGGGGAAAGAAAAGGTGTCCGTATTAGAGAGGTGTCCTCATTTCAGGGGTGTCCTATTATCAGGAGAGAGGTTTCTCTGTGTGTATTGACAGACAAAAGGGTTTGAAAACAGACCATTTCCTGGCTGCGTGGCTGCATTTGAGATCTGAGGTGGGCCTTGTACTGTTCCATCATGTACTGGTTTCTTAGCCGCGCCTCTCGCATGTAGGACGTCCCCACGCTGTGAAATGGTCTGTGGGGGGGAAGAGAGAGAGAGAATGGACCGGCTCGGAAAGTGGATGGTGGGGCTAATAGTTAGAGTGGGCATTAGAGTGGATATAGACATTGAAACTGCAACTAATGTACACACTAACACCTGTGCTGCTTCAGCAGCCGCTAACACAAATAGTTGCAGTTGATCAGTGGCAAGTAGTCACTAGTCATACTGAATGTACACACTAACACCTGTGCTTCAGCAGCAGCTAACACAAATAGTTGCAGTTGATCAGTGGCAAGTAGTCACTAGTGTACACACTAACACCTGTGCTTCAGCAGCCGCTAATTGATCAGTGACAAGTAGTCATAAATCATACCAAACAGGCTTCTTACATAGTACACCTGCTAGAAGCGGAGATCTTCCTACAAGCCACAGTATCTACCATTGCCAATACCATTGTGTGGGGAAAGCAGGAAGTCACACGCTGCCGTGCTTTTTGCCTACATACATCGGTGGTCCGGCATTGTAGTTGTGAATGTACACACCTGTTTGTAGGGGTTGAGGGAGAGAGAGAGGGGCCGGATGGCACGCTCTGTGCTTGTGGAACGGTGGAGGGGGGAACTGGGAGGGAGGGGGTAGGGAGGGAGGGAGCTGTGCCACCAGGGAGTGTGGGGAAGGTGTAGCTATAAGAGAGAGGACGCGATATCACACTCACAGCAAAACAAGAGACATGTATATACAAGTATCATGTAAGATGAACATGTCTCAGTATGAATGATGCAATATTACCTTCTGTGAGATGGTCGGATGGCTTGCACAGGAAGTGAGGGTGGAGCCACGCCCACTGGCTCCTCCAACCCTCTCCCCTCCTCCCGGGCGGAGTCATACATCTCCTCCGCCCGCTCCAGACACTTACTCGCCATCTTGAACAGACTGAGCGTCTTCTCCCGCGGGAGGGAACCCCTGCCTTGATTGGCCGTAATGTCAGATGCAACACACTGAGTTATGTACCCCACTGTACCCAGGTAGCTCATGTACGCACTCTGAAAAGTAATACAACACGTTCTAGTTGTTCCAGGGCAAATTGTAGCCGTACCATCTCTTTCCCTTCGCCGTCAAAGTGTCTGAGACTTGACGATCATTGCTCCAACGGCCGACAGCTGCTCTTTTCCCGCCCCTCCTCTCCCCCCCGCCTGCTGCCCGTTCGACATCATGCTCCAGGCGTCCAGCAGGGGCTAAGACTGACACAGCACCCGCGGCAACAACACGACCCCAGCTGGGCTCCTTTTCTCTGCTCTGCTCTTACGAAGCACTATCGTAAAAGTTGCGCGTACGTATTCGTTCTCACGTTACGTGTAACGTAACGCATTCAATGTTATTTTTCGAAAAAAGTCCGTCATCATAATAATTATTCAGTGTGTGTGTGTGCACGAATACCACAGAAATATTCACAGTATAGTGTGCATGTATTACAATATCTGGTGGGGTTCACCTGTACAAATCTTTACAGCATAGAGTGGGCAAAAGGGGAAAAAATCGAAAAAGTAAAGGATTTTCATCATCTCCTGCGACGATCTCTGTCTCTATAGCGATCGTGGCTCCTGCTTCGAGACCGCGAGCGACTGTCCTTTGACCGTGACCTGCAGTGGGAAAAAAGTTTCGCATCGGTATACAAGGATTCTCTTAGAAATACGATCCCTAAGTTTAAGATCTTATCCAACAAACTCTCTCTCCTGGCCTCCCTACATACACACAGCAACAGTCGGAAAAGTTCGCTTTACCACCGACTAAATCACACAATACGTCGGTCTTTTTCATGCCAAACGTAAGGATTTCCAAACACGAAAATGTAAAGGATTTCCTAAGACACAGCAGAGCTTACCTCCGCCTCACTCTCTCCCTAGCACGCCGCTCTCGCTCCTCCAGGATCCTGCGCTCCCTCTCCTTCTTGGCCATCTCCTCTCTCTCCTTCTCCCTCTCCCTCTCCTTCTTCCTCTCCTCCTCGTACGCCCTCTGTCTCTCCTGTCGCCTCTTCTCTCTCTCTGCCTCCTTTGCCTCTCTCTCCTGCTGTCTCACCTGCACCTGTGGGTCCACACGGTGAGAAAACTGTCATACCATAGTGGGAAACTTTTGCTAGAATTTATTTCACTTTAGGTAGTAAAAAGCATAGGGACTTGGAAAATTAACTGTAGACCAACATGCGTGACACATGTATGTACATACAGTCAGTGTGTGCGTGTAGACACCTCTGCCTCAGAGAGTGGTAGCCAGTAGATGGAGGGAGTGGCCTTTGTCTTCCTGAACAGGTCGTCCAGGAGTTTGGTGGCCTGGGAGGGAGCCTTCTCTTGATGCAGGGGGGCCGCTGGGGGTACAGGATCACTGTTGCTGACATCACCTCTGGGCCCACTCGACTCCTCGCCAGCTAGGTAGCGGAGATCAAATGTGACAGTTGACAATGTGTGAGTTACTCTAGCACACGCATATGGATGCTGGTTTAAAATCCTATCAAAGCTTTATTGTCAACACATAAGGCTATGGAATGTACGTATGTGCGTGCATATATTGTGTATGCACCATTCTTGGACTTGATCTCATTTTCTCTGTCCTCTTCCGATTTCTCCTGGCCACTGCTTTCCCTCCTCCTCTTCTCAGGCTTCTCCTGCTCCCCTTCCTCCTCCCCTTCCTCCCTCACACCCTCCCCGGTCTCCCCAACGTCACCACCACCACCGCCACGTTCTTCCTCTTCCTCCTCTCCGCCTACCTCCCCCTCCTCACCTCCCTTCCCGCTCACCTCTGGCGCTGGTGGCGCAGTCATCACGACCAGGTCTCCCTCACTGATCTTCTTTACTTCCTCCGGAGAGAGGAAATCCACCGACAGGAGTTTGGGGTTTGTGAAAGGCCACTTCAGTCCGTGCAGTCGCTGCCTCGAAGTGGTAGCCACGTCCTTTGATCCATACTGCAACAGGAGAGATGTTGGGAGCGAGTAAGTAAGGGAGGAAAAGAGAGGAAAAGTCTGAGAGTGGAGTAGCAAAGTTTTCGAGGAGAAAACACTGACTGTTGAGTTTGGTGAGCATCAATTGGAGTGGGAGGAGAAGGTGATGCTCACTCACAAAATTGAATGGTGTGGCTATTAAACTGTTTCCTCCCCCTTTACTTTAGCTTAGAGAGTGGTTGAAGTGCTTACAACAGCAATGCAGTGGCTCTTGACTCCGTTGGTCCAGAACCCATCTTTCAGTAGAGGACCATCGGCAGCTAGTAGTTGTCTGAGCTGGGTGAGTGTGAATGGCCTTGTCAGGTTCTTCACATGGAGAATGTTGCTGGGAGGACTGCGGGCTGGGGACGGACTGCGCTGATTCACAGACTCTGTGGAACACGGAACACAAGTAGATGGCAATAAAGAATTTAGCACTAAAACGGCTTTGCAATATGTCTATCGATCAAACAGACTCTGACTTTTTTTTAGAACAGTCAGTGTGTTGCTGTTGTGTATAACCTGAATCCGTGTACTTCTGGATCCACAGAATGTTCACACACACATGCACACCACACACAACTCAAACCTTTCTCCAGGTCCTTCTCCCCGGCATCAGCCTGCTCCAGGCGGGCCCTGACTCTAGCAGCGATCCTCTGCCGGGTCTCCAGCTCCTGTCGTGCCCTCTCTGCCTCTCTCTGCTTCGCCTCTCTCTGTCTCACCTTCTCCTCCCACTCCAATTGGTGCTCATCCCTACACAGGCAGCAGGCACACATTCAGAGCTCACAGACTACTACGTGGCTCGAATAGTCAACTTGCACTAGACACGCGGTATAAAAATGGTCTATTGACAAAGTGTGAACATACAAGTTGCACACGCTGTGTACAGTTGAACATCACTGATTACGAGGTACCCCTCTAAAAATAGTGTGATCTATATATAATGTAAATCAGCTCTTTTCTGGGGATACAAGGTGATAATTAAAATGGTTGTGGTTCTTGAATTAAGCCTTCAAAAACTTAAATATACACCCCTCTGATTTGTTGGAAATTTTCAGGAAAAAGTAGAGGTTTACTTTTTGTCTGTTCCCTCGAGGTTGTCGGGTCCGCTGGTAAGGTCGATCATCTCCCCACCCCCCTCCTCCCCTCCCTCCCCCTCCTCTTCCACCATCACACCCTCTCCCACCTCCAACTCACTTGGTATGATATCCTAACACACAGTGGTAAAGAAAAACAGCGCATAGCTCAGCATTATATATATATACCTTCACTGTTTGTGAAATTACTCACGAAACTAAAACTAACTTGCACTCACATTGGCTGAACAAAACGTGTTACATTTGTTCTTACATTCCGTACTGTACAATAGAATATACCAGTTGGAAGACACACACCACACACACACACAACACACAATACAACAGTAGTTTTTAAAAGGGGGCGAATCGGGTCTTCAAAGTCAATAGTTTCTTACACTACCCCCCAATTTGGACCCCTGTGTGCAGTGAGGCAAACCGCACCCTTGACACCCACAGAAAGACAGACTAGCCTACAGAGAATAGGAGGCAGACACACACCTTGAGGATGTCGGAGCTAATGTTGGTGGTGCTGGAGCCCGAGCGCTGTTTCCCCGAGCCCCAGCGCCTCTTCCTCTCTCCTCCACCTCCTCCGCCACCCCACTGGATGGAGGCTGGCTCAGCTCCCAATGAGGACGATGACGACGATGCTGCAAACAGCAGAGAAACCATGTAATTTTATTAACACTTTTGTTTGTATATAATTATGTAATCCCTAAATGACAGTAAATGGCATGTTTACCATGTGCTGAAATTCTCCTCCTTTTCTTCGAGGGATGCTCGGCTTGATCCTAGAAAAAAGTAGGAAAAATAGTGATGCGCACGACTCTAATTAGAGCCCGTCATCTACCTCAGCCCTGTCTCCCTCGGCGCGTTTCGCCTCCACTGCCGGAGACGATTTGGAGGCAGCGGCTGTGTCTGCCTTCCCTGCCTCGCTACCCCTGCTAGGATCACTACCTGCACTCTCCCCTACAAGACCAACGGACAAGGATGAGGAGGAGGGAGGGTGGGGCAAGCCTGCCGCAGACGAGCCACTAGTGTGACGATGCTTAGCCGAAGAAGAAGACGACTTATCCCGATCTTTATCACGTGCTCTTTCTCTAGCTTTGCCACCGGAGGAGGAGCCGCCGCTCCCACGCTCTTTCTGTCGCGAAGACGCAATTTTCTGAGCCTCGGCAGCTTCGGTTGAGAATACAGAGAGGTCATCTTCTTCTGCATGTACTAGAACAGCAACCTCCATACTTACTCCCTCACTTACCTCCTCCGCCGCGGTTTGGGGGGGCGACATGTCCGAAGTAGTGTCATTGAGTTGTTTAGTGGGCGAATGGGGAGTTATCTTCACCGTGGTGGGTTCCGTGAGGCTGATTTCTTCCTGCACACCACCTCGCTCCTCCTGTGTGGTAGTCTGTCCAGAGACGACTCGTTCTTCTGTGGGACCAGTCTCAGCCTGTTTCTCGTCTTGAACACTCTCTTGGGTGGTGCCACCCTGCTCCTGTGGTTGAGCACTCCCTTCTGTAGGCCCTGTCTGCTCCTCCTGTGGCATCGTCTCCTCTGCAAGCTCCGACTGCACCTGTGATTGAGGACTCAGTTCTACAGCACCAGGCTGGTTCTGCGGTTGAGCCCTCTCATCTCCTGCCTCAGCCTGGCTCTCTTGCTGCATCTTCTCTTCTGCTTGCTCAACAGTCTCAGCTTGCTCCTCGTGTTGAACTCTGTCTCCTGCCTGTTCCTCTGGTGCCGTCTGCCGAACACTCTCCTCCTTCTCCTCTCCTGCAGTTGTCTCCCTCTCAACGGTCGTGGTAGTACGAAGAGAATCTTCTGTTATCCGAGTGGTGGGCTGCTGTCCCTGGTCCTCCGTTGGAACAGATTCAGGCACATCCGCAGTGGTGGAAGACCCCTGAACTTTGTCTTCCCCAGGTGGTAAGCGCTCTTCTTGTTCCATTTGTTGCCCCCCAGCTATTTCCTCTCCCTCCACCTCCTCCTTCTCTTCCTCGACCTCCATACCCTGTTCCACTGCGTCCGTCTCTTTCTCTCCTATCCCAACCGGCTCAGCAGTGGTCCCCTCACTCTCCTCCGCTTCCTCCATCTGCAGACTCTTACCACTCACCTCTTGTTCCCCTTCTGTCGGCACGCACTCATCCACTGGTGGTTTACTGGCCTCCCCACCCCCTCCCCCGCTGTTCTTGTCTTCTTCCACAGGTGGAGGCCGTTCAATAATGACCCATTCATCTACATCTCCTCTCTCTTCTTCACCTCCTTTGATCGTTTTCGGCTCATCACTAGTGCTCTCTTCCTCCACTTCTTCCACACTTTGGCTCTCCCTCTTCTCCCCTATTGCTGATAATTTTGACTCCACTTGAACAGTCATCTTAGTTTCTCCAACAGCAGCTGATTGGACCGGTTCACTCGAATCGATATCCATATCCTCCGCCACCTCCTCTCTTGCCACTGAGGGTTGACCTGATTCATTTTCGGCACCTTCTCTCCCCTCACCCTCCTCTACCTGTGGTCCGACACCCCTGACCCCTTCATTTTCCTCTCTAATATCACCACCACCACATTCCCCACCTTCACCCTCTCCCCCTACTTCTTTATCCAGTGCTTCGACTCTCGCATTTTCTGCTGTTTCACTAGCAGTCGTTAGCGTAGGTTCCAAAACTTGTTTCGCGTCAGTTGAAACGGCGTTTGAACAATGCTCCACCGCAGAGGGTTGCGTTTCCGACACGTCGTTTATTTCACTGCAATCGGTCACCACGGCAGGAGGAGCCTCTTTTTCTTCCCCGGACATATCGACGTTTTCCCGGGATGAAGCAACAGCAGGGGAGACAGCTGGAATAGAGTTGTGATTTTCCGATCGCTGCGTCCCTCGTTCTGCGACAAGCCCGTCGTCGTTAGGAACCGACACTGCCACCACAAGAGGTCCCCCTCCCCCTCCTCCCTTGTCCTCAACGGTAGACACTGGTGGAGGGTTCGGAGAGTACACTTCCAGCGTCTCTTTGTTGCTCAGTTCGACTGAGATAATCATTTTGTCTTGCTCTGGGGACATAACAGGGCTGTCTTCTCGGATCTGGTCGGGCGGTAGGAAACTCTCTGCGGGGACGCTGAAGTTGAAACCAGCCTCAAGAGGACCTGGGTTCCCCTCAGAATCACTCTCTGAGCTCGAGTCGTTCAGTTCCTCCTCGTCAAAGGCCTGCGGAAAACAGTCAGGGTGGCGTTAATAAGAACTCTTAACGTTTTGTTGCCGAGTACAGAGCTTCGGACGCGACAAAGAACTACTTGTAGTGAGCAAAGGAAACTGAAATGCTAACATAAAAGAGGTTATGAGGTAGTACGTGTTAGGGGACAAGCGTTGGTCTGCGGTGGTGCAAAAAAGATGGCGCGTACCCGTTCCAGTCGGTCGCGTAAGCTTTTCTTGCTGCCTCTGGTGCTCAGCCCGCGTTGTTTCAGCTCCTGCTTTAGCTCCGTGACCGTCATGGACGCCACGTAGGCTTTGGAGGCCATTTCTCTCTCAGCTTCTGCACAACGTGTCGAGAAACACAACTCGAGCCTGTAGATGGTCATGTGATTCTCACGTGATGCAGGCATAGACGGCGCGCGCTGCGCGTTTTTCACAAGGTCCAAAGCAGAAGACAAGGACGTTTGTTCCACAAAGCTAGCGTATCCTACTGTGGAAGCTCCTGTTAACCTTCTACATGCTTGCTGAAGATCCCTGACGGACTGAAGTCTCTAATGTCGCGAGGGAAAGTCGGTCCTCGTCCAGTTATGGACACTACCCTCCTCTCTGCCTCGGCAATCGGCTCTCCCGCCGCTTTCTCCACGGCCATCAAGCCGCCGGGAAGTTTCAACACCCATCACAGCGACGGAGACGCCTCGCTGTTGGCGCACCAGCCGCACGAGGTCTCCCGCCTCCTCAGGTTAGTTGCCCCGCCCCCTTTCTCTACCACACTATATCTCGGTCACTGCAGTGATAACGTGGCAGGACAGCTTTCCCTCAGCCTTTCGTCCGAGCATCCACGTACTGAAGGTAAACAGATAACAATTGACATTGAGGCTAAATAAATGCAAGGTGTTTCCGCGATGCATTGACTCAGCATTCATTCATCTCCGGAACATTCTTCTGTGCAGGAGCCGTTGCTGATGAAACTTCTTTTGGAATCCTGGACCTTGATAATCTCCACGGTATTTATCAGATGTTTTTGATGTGCACTGTACAGAATGGTGCTGTTTGGCGGGTAACCTTTTCATTGGAGAAAGCTTTGTGATTCAGTAACAAGACTTACTGTCTTGTCTCACTAAGACAAGAATGCCCCTAAATTTCACAAAGAAGATCTTCACGGACGCCTTTAAATCCACGAAATAGCTCCCTCTGGAGTTTCCCGCTGTATGTTCACTGATTCCATAACTCTATACCTCTCCACAGAGAGCTCAATGTCAGTGTTCCTCACGTCCCCTCGCACCAGCCGCGACCTCATGGGCTCTAATCTTCCACTTGCGGTCTCCTCAACCTCTCGAGCTCTCACCTCGACCTCTCAGCTCCCCCTCTCTCCCCCTGCCTCCATGGGCCCTCTGAGACTCTCCGGAACCACGGGATTTGTAGGGGGATCGCACGTCGTCGAGCAAGATGGAGGGGGAGAAGAAGGGAGAGAGGGAGAAAGAGAAGTTGGTCTTCCGGAGGACTTACTGGAAGTGTCGAGCTCTGTGGGGTACAGTTCAGATGCGGAGGAGGAGGGGGAGATGATGGGACGGAGAGGAGAAAATCTAAACCCGGTGGAGAGAGATTCAGAGCACAGTGGTTAGTTTCTCTCTCCTTTGTTTGTGGCTTGTTCAAGACCTGTCTCTTTTGAGTAATCAACCTGTAGTATTGTACATCGTGTGTGTGCAGTGGGGGACAAATTTGTTCGCTTTTCTCTATGCCTGAACACCACAATCGCTGGGGAGCATTCGTCTCATCTCTTCTTAGCCGCTACCCAACCATTACCTTTCGGAAGTGAAGTACTCCTCCGTCTCCTCCTGGTCGTTCTTCTTCCTTGTAGGGCTTCATTGTGCACGTCTCTTCTCTCAAGCTGGCTGTTGTGGTTGGCGGCTCTTCTGTATGGGATGTCTGTATCTCTGTAGGTCTGGCAGTAGGAACTCCTTCACGGTGCGACTTCGTAGCGGGCGATTTCCCCTTCTTCATCCTTGTTTGTAGGCCTTGCTCTCCCTTCCTCCTCCTCCACCTACTTGTACTCACTTCCACAGGCACTACCAGATGGTAGCCAGCCACTTATTTTGTGATTTTGTGTTCTATCTTTTTTGAAGACTGTGCTTCACTAGATATATTATACAGAGTGTCTAATTTTACAAATGATCTTTGCCTGCAAATTCAGGAATAATTTTGGATTATACTTACTTTACAGGAGAGATGACATATTCTGCTCCAACTGTTCCAGATCAAGTCAGACTGACTGGAGACGGCCACGAGAAGAGATCATTAGAACAACATCTCCCTCTTTTACCACCTGTGTCGCCTCGAGGAGAAAGAAGTGGAGAAGTAGAAGGGGATCGAGGAGGAGGAGGAGGAGGAGTATTTTCAGTGTCTGAGATCTTGCAGGAGGCCCAGAGGGGAGGAGAAGACCGCAGAACAAGTCACAGGTTCCTGGCCACGACACACTCCCTCATCACCGACCAGGAAGAGCCTTCTGCCATGAGACGGGCTGCCGAGTTCGGCAACAGATTACAGCCACCAGACCAGGTTTCCTCGAGGGTGGAGAGAGAGGATCTGTCACAGAGGTCTGCCCCGGTGGCCAGTGGTGGTGACAAGACCAGACGAACTACCTTACCACCTTTAGCAGGACAGTCTATCACTAGTTCTGGCACTGCCAATACCACAGTCACTCTGCCTAATTCTGCTGGAGGTAGTACTAGGGTGAGAGGTAGGGGAACAACAGTCTTGTGAAGGGTGGGATGGAAAGACGACAGAGAGTAAACCAGACTGTATGGAATCCAGTGCCCTAACTACCGGAGACACCACCAGTCCAGAGGTACATAGATCGTCATGGGAGAAAATATTTGAGAGTCATTACTACATTTTTGTGGATGAGCATCTGATTTTGGGGCTAGGATTGTTAACCCCAAAAAACTTTGGAATAGATTGCTGTGACCTTAACTGAACATGCTTCATACACTTATCTAAATGTGAATGTTAAAGTTTGTAATATATATTTTCTATTGGATTGTCTGCTTATTGCAGGGGCTTCCCTCTGCCTACCTTCATCAGTCATCGGTACACAGCTCAGCCTCACCGCACACTGTGTCCCGCACTCCTTCGGGCACGCCTGATTCCTCCCCTCCCCTCTCTCCTCGTCCTCCTCCTCCTATCCCTACTTCTCTCTCCCCTCTCGCCACCGGAGACAACCAGAGATATTCTGCACGGGGAGAGGCTGGGGAGGAAGCGAGAAACTCGCTCTATAACCCATTTGACTCAGAAGGTTAATTTCTTACTTTTCTATTTCACTAGCATGTTGTGTGTGTCTGCATTCATTGCAGTACAACTACCGTATGACTTTCGCAACAACGTTTGCAAAAATCCCGGATACATGCGTAGGGTGCTAAAACCAGTTGTGTGATTGCATGAAAGCTACGGCATTTTCAAAACTTTTACTGTTTAGTTACATGGTGCTGTACACATAAGTATAATTTTAGGTGTTGCAAAAGTGTGCAAAACCACCGATTGTTCACGTGTGCCTTCGTCCAGGGTTCTTGGTTTATGGTCAATGGCTGTGTTGGTGCAGCTATATGACCGAGCCCCTGTGTATCTCCCTGTGTTGTGTATCCAGATGTGGTGGGAGAGGTAGTGATGGGAGACGAGGAGTTTGGAGGAGGAATGGACTCCGATTCGTTCGTAGCTCAGCTGAGAGCAGACGAGGCAGCTCTGGAAGAGGCCAACAAATTTCTACTAGTAAGTTATCCTCCATAACTCAAACACTGGAAAATTTGACAATTTGTTGGTCGGTATAAATTATAGTTGAAATTAGAAGCTAAGCATGCGAGTGCTTTCGGCAAAGGAGCTGAGTTCAGCTCACTAAATTAGTCAGCTTGGGCAATAGTTGCTGAATTTGAGTGTCTGAAATCACTGCAGACTTCTCTCTCTCTCGCTCTCCCACAGCCAGCAGAATTTGTGGCTTCTACTCCCCAGACTCCGTCCTTTACTCACCTCTCGTCCACCTCCCTCCCTCCCTCCTCTCTCCCTCCATCACTGCCTCGCTCGGGGGAGAGGGAACTGTCAGTGGGCGAGTACTTTGGCCGACGCAGCTACAAAATGGGTGCTCTTGAGGGCTCAGGAGCTCTGTCTTCCAGTGAGAGAGTGAGTCAAATAATCACGACAGGGACATATTCAGGGGAAGCAAAATCTCCTCAACAAAATCTTGCCCCTTTTACTAAGCTCCAAAATCTTACCCATGAGCTCTCCCTTCTTAAGTTCCACCTTGCCTACCCTCCCACGTCATGTTTTGCAAATTTCAGAGCGTTTGTAATGTCCCAAAACTCTTCCCATCCGTAGCCTCAGTTTTCTTGGCTGTCCTCCACGCAAAGCTCGCAGCCCACGCCACCCAGTGAAGGGAGGGAACCTCAAGCCTCGCAGTCTACTGCTCCCAAGGCAAGTCCTGAAGATGCGGACACCACACTTGTGGCCAGCGAAGACGGACAATTGGGGGAAGATGACGAACCAGCTTCTCATCCTCATCATCCACACAACTCTGGATCAGATCTGGCAAAGATTGGTGGAGTTCCCGTCAGCTCTGTTCAAACTCGCTCCTCTTCTAACACGACCCCTTCTGTTCCACCAAAACTGCGTCCTGCTACAGTAGGACAAGTAGACATGCATACAACCCATCCCTATACCGCAGTTTCTGTGTCTGAGAATGTGAGTGGAATCAAGACTAAAGGAACGTGGTGGTGAGTGTTGCAGCTCCACCGCTGGTGTCCAGAGCCGACAGTCTCACTCCAGTGGTGACGGTCCACACTCCATTCCCCATGCAGTACCAGATCCCCAAACTCGACCTCTCTGGTCTGTCAAAGACCATCAACGCCACTCCAACTGTCACCTCTTCAACAACTGGCCATAAACTCACCCTTCCCTCCTCCATTTCTGCCAGTACAACCCCCCTCTCCACATCACACTCTCTTGCTGCTGCTGCTAAATCTCTACCAACGCCGGTTCCTACTGTTGCCAGCATAACCTCTTCCAAAAGAACGTCTCTTACTCCAACCACCGTAGCTAGCGCGTCGCTCTTCACCCCCGGAATGGAATCAGGGCTCCAACACTCTGGAATGGACTCTGGACTCAGCAGTGGTATGGAACACAGACTGGAGTCCCGGTACTGGAGACCCAGCAGTGGGACGTCGACACTTCTCTTCCCCGAACTCTCTGCCACCTCTCTCTCCCCCCCACCGACCGATATCGCAGGTCTCAGCTCCATGCCCACTCCCTCCATTGCACACCTCTCTGGAGGGTTCAACGCCACCTCTGCCTCCGAAGTCCCCAACTTTCTGGACAGTCTCCTCGGTTCTCTCCCTGTGCCTTCCTCTGTGGGAAGGCTCTCTCTGTCGGGGGGTCCCGGCAAGATTCCAGGGGTGTCTCTGCACTCACCACCTGTCAGTAAGACAGTAGGTGGTGGGGTGACATCTGCACAGGTCACCGGTGCCTCAACTGCTTCAAACTCTCCCCGTATTAGCAGCAACTCTACCAGTCTTGAGTCGGGAAATGCAGAGAAAAACGATGAACGTCAATCGCCACTTGTCAGTCTAGCTTCAAGCTCTAGCAAGACACCACCGGACCTTAAAGCTAGTGAGAAAAAGAAGAAAAGTCGTCTAGAATCACCTCCGGGTAGCGGGTCAGCTTCAAAAGTGGGCCAGTCTCCGCCAGGCAAAGTGCAGTCGTCAGCTGTCAACCTGAGCACAGGATTATCTAGTGGACAGTGTCCACCACAGTGTGGGGAGTCCAGGAGAAGCTGGGAGTCCCGTGAGACAGCGTCCACCGAGTCCCAGGACAGAGACCGCCAGGAAGAAGATATCGCAGTTGAAGGCTGCTCTGGATGCAACTGAATTCGACGCTGCGGCTTTCCTCTCTCGTCTGGAGGGAGAGAAAGGCTCCTCGGTTGCCCAGCCTCTCTCTTTGACCACCGGCACGTCTGTTTCAATGGCTCCTGCTGCTACCCAGCCCAGCACAAGTCTTAATCAAAGTCCCCCGAATACAAGTGGTACTAGTCTACAATCACCAGTTGTTGGTCAAACTTTGACGAATGTGGACCATCTGAGTCTTACCACCGCCAGTCATGGTACAACCACTACTGTTAGTACTACTACCACTACGGTCAACCAAACTACCACAGTGGTTGGTCAAAGTGCAGACACAATGGTCAACCCAACTAACACAGTGGTTGACCAAACTACCACTTTTGCTCACGTTCCCTCCAAAATGCTCAGTCAACCTTCCATTGCAATCAGCTCAACAGCGACAAGCTCTGCATTGCCAGCTATTTCTACTGGTAGGAACTTACCACATGCCTCTCCCTCTCCCCCAAAACCCTCAATATCTTCACCTCTGCCAGTGAGCATGTTGGGCCAGACCTCCACAGCAAATGTGAGCGTATCCAGCAACACCAGCAGCACCAGCAGTGGTGCCCTGAATCTGGAAGACGACTGTGGTGGGTCACCAGAGAGTGAAGTGGAAGGAAAGGCTCGGAAGAGAGGAGAGCGGAAGAGGCCTCGTCAGCCTCAGAGTGTGGCAGTACGAGACATCGGTGTGGGGACGACGCCCAGTCTCCACAGAACTCAGACCAGATCCGGCTCTCACATTCACACCAGCAGAAGCTTGGACGAGTCTCTGGTGAACATCACCCAGCCAGTCTCAGCGTCCATTGTTTCTCACGCTGCTCCCCTCTCTCCCTCCACGTCTCCACAGAGAAAGGCCACCCGCTCCTCTCCCCTCTCTCCACCCTCGTCCTCCCTCGTATCTCCATTGCGCAATACGAGGGAGCAATCTTCGTCGTCACAACCCATCTACACCTCTCCTCGTCTCCTCCCTCACACTTCCCTCTCCCCTCCCCCACAGCCACACCCCCAACCCCTCACGGGGCGCGAGAGACGAAAGACCCCCCAACCAAACTCCCTCCGGGTCCCCGACTCGCTCATTTTCAAGACCCCCTGCTGCGTGGGGGTGACCCTCCCCGATCACCTCCAGATTAGCAACGTCGGCGACAGATGGCTGCAGCTCAACTTCGAACTGGGCGAGCTCTACCGCAACGGAACACTTGAGACTGATCTCTCCTCCTTTTCCTTCCCCCAGAGATGCTTTGTGAGCCCGAGGAAGACGGAATCGATAAAGATTGGTTTTTCTCCAAAGCAGGCTGGCAGCTATGAGGCGGTGCTGGTGTGCCGAGCTCGACTGGTTGTGAGCAGCGAGGGAGACAGTTCAAATTTTATCCAAGAGAGCGTGGTAGTGAAAGCGCTTGCCGTTCCACCGCTACTCGAAGTTGCGACACCCTCCACATCGAGCGAGGAAACCTGTCTCGACTACGGCCTGTTAACGACAGGGACGTCCCTCTCTCTCCCGCTCCATCTTACAAATCTCGGATCCTCGGAACTACCGCTGCGACTCGCCATTGCCGCACCCACCCTCTCCCAGCTCTATTTCTCGTTTGACGATCCACCTCCGTCTCTCAAGACGCCTTCCTCTTCCCCCTCCTCCTACCTTCACCCTCGACCCTTCTCTACCACATTCATCCTTCCCCCCAAACCATTGGGCAGAGACATAAAACCAGAGACATATCTTCTCAGCGTAAACTTCAAGTCTCCAAAGAATTTCGCAGACGATTCGACTCTTCTCGGCTCTCCCGAGGAAATCAAGGCACAAGTTAACGTATCAGTCGAAGGACCCAATTCCACTGGCGTTCTGTACAGTGTTCCCGTCCGTGTGACAGTGGGTGTGGCTAGACTTCACGTACCTCGCTCCCTCCAAGCCCTCTCTTTCTCGTGTTGCGAAGGACAGACCATCACACGAGATGTCCCGTTCAAAAACGGCGGTAACATACCCCTGCAGATAGCGCTGGAGTTTTCCACTGAGTGCAAGCACTTTCGGGTGACACCTGACTTTCTCGAACTCTCGCCCAGCGAAGAGGCCCAGATTAAGGTGTCATTTTCACCCCACTCATCTCCGCTACTGATAAACGGGCGTCTAATGGTCCACGTGCCGCCCCACGGGCCGAGCTACGAGTTAAAAGTCCAAGGAACCGCTCTGGAGAGAGAAGAAACGGACAAACGATACGAAAACCTCCTCTTCTGCAGCAAGCGCTGCCTCTACTGGGGCGGGGTTGAAGTTGGAGACACAGCGGAGCAGACACTACTCCTCCAAAACAGTTTTTCTTCCGCGGTCCCACTCCAGTTTTCAATCCGTCATCAGAACCAGGGGTTCCAGCTGGAAGTCGAGTCTGGTTCGGCCACCCAGGAGCAGACTGCAGATCTCCCGGAGCAGACACAACTGCAGACTGAACCTCCTCTTTTCCCCTCCGTCCACGGCCGTCTTTCGCAACGCCCTCGACATCTTCGACGCGCTCCACTCTAAGAAGTTTCGCATCCCGCTGTGTGGCTACGGGGGAACGTCTCGAATCGAAATCATCAACGTTCGTCGCTCCACCTCAGGAGGGGTGTGGGTGGACATCGGACCTGTCGCAGTACAGACAGAGTCCACGGTCAAGATATCTCTCTACAATTCAGGATCGCGAGCAGGATTTGTGAAGGCGCTCGTTTTGCCAGTGGACGAAGAGGAGGAGGGTGAAAGTTTATCTCCTCTCCCTCTCACCCAGGCTAGTATAACTCCCTCTGAGTGTGTCCTTCAGCCGCAACAGATAAAGGAACTGAGTGTCACGTACAAACCCTCCTCCGGCGAAGAGGTGGAAAGTGTTTGGAAGGGACTGCTCCACTAGCTCGTCTGGTCTTCGTCCACGGAGATGAAATAATCAGGCAGAGATTTCAGAGGGCCTTGCGGCAAGGGGTGAAGAAGGAGAAGAGGAGGAGGAGGAAGAGGAGGGGAAAGGAGGACTGGGGTACACACTCAGCAACCAGTTCAACCAGAATTTCCTGTTTGAGTCACCTCGAGCAGGAGTCCGTGGAGTCAGAATTGGACTTTGCTCAGTTTGAAGTGGAGAATGAGGAGAGGTTTTTCGAGCAGCAGATTCAGCAGATCGAGGTGGCGTTGTGTGGTAGTCAGGCGCCCTGCCCGCCAGCTCTCAGAGAGAAGACCCAGCGTCAACCTCTCTCCATGTCCTTTGACACACCACCGAGGACACTGAAGATGGCCACCAGTCCGTCACACTCTCCCTCCAAGACCACTCCTCCTCCCGCCGGTACTGTCTCTCTCTCCACTTGGATCATCTCGTCTCTCACTCTCCTCTTCCCTGATACCACCTCTGGCCAGCGTTCAGGTCAGCTCTGGTTTTGCTGACACTGTGTGTATTATACTCCCTAATTAATGCCCACTAAAATTTATGCACACATGTCTTGTTGGGTGTCATTCTGACTGAAACTTAGAGTGTTTTTTGGTGTCGTGTCTCTCTAGAAAAGATGCTGGATGTGCACAATCCTTACTCGCAGTCCCTCCAGTGGAAACTCAGCTCCGTGGCCTCTCCGTTTGTTAGAGACGTGAGCCACTGGCCACACATACAACACTGCTTTCCTGGCTTTCTCCATCTCTCTCTCCTTGCTTTTCTTTCTCCTTGCTCTTCCTTTCTCCATCTCTCCCTCCTTGCTTTTCTTTCTCTCATTTTTCCCTCCTTGTTTTTTCTTTTTTCCCCCTCCGTTCCTCTCTTTGTCATTACTTTTTCTTTTTTCTTTCTCCATTTCTCTCTCTCTCATTTTCCCCTCCTTTTTTATCTCTCTTTTTTTTCTTTATTTTTCTCCCTGTTTCTTTTTTCTCCCTCCCTTCCTCTCTCTGCCATTGCTTGTTATTTTTTCACTCTCCATTTCTCCCTCCTTGCAGTGTTCGTCTTTCCCTCTCCCTACTTTACTTTTTTAATCTTTATTTTTGTTTCTCTCTATCCCTCAGGCGGCCGGTTCGTCTAGCAGCATATGTAAGGCCAACTACTCAGTGTTTTGGGTCCATGAGAGGAAAGGAACTGTGGCTCCAACCTCCTCAGCACAGGTACTGTATACACCCACCTATTGTGTATATACTCCATCTCTGAACATGTATGGTGTGCAGGTGTTGGTGATGTTCCAGCCTCACGATGTGGGGTCGTTCTCTCAGATATGGGACCTGCAGGTGTGTGTGTGTACATACTACAACATACATTCACAGTACGTGTGTTAGTGTTTAGTACATGTACTCCATTATCCATTAGCAAATGTAATGTGTTTTTGGTGAATGAGCTCCAAGTCTGCGTGGCCAATAGCTCTAGGGTCATGTGGAAATGAGAATGGGTCATTTACTTCCTTGCTGCTGTTGGTCCTCTGTGATATGATATAATACCACAGGTCTTCGGCAAAGAACTGGAGAATGGTTCTAAGAAGATTAGACTCTCGTTTGGAGGAAAGGTGTATATATACATCTACAGTGTAACTATCACGACAAAACCTTTCATGAAATGCTGAATAAGGAAAAACAGTGGTTGGTTTGCGTGGTGTCCTATAAAACTGAACAATGTTGTATGAAGCAAGCTCATGTCGAGAAACATTGTGTGTAAATGTACATGTTGTCATTTCAGGCTGTTGGAAAGCGTTCTAGAGCTGAGCAGGCCCCACGAGTCCGTTTCACCTCTCCTCCACCTTCTCCCCTTCACCCCACCAAACCTCCCTCTCCCTCCCTCACCACTGGCACCAGCTCACACCCTCCCACCCTCACAACGGGCACCAGCTCACACTCACCTCCCACCCTCACCACTGGCACCACCAAACGAGCAGTGTACATCAAGGAGGAGACAGTTCAGTTCCCGAGTACCGAAGTCGGGAGTGAGACGTCCGTGAAAGTAAAAGTTTGCAACAGAGACAAGTGCCAGCATCAGGTACATGCATACATGAAAAAACATGTTTATAGCATACTAGCTAAAAGAGAGGAAAAGAAAACCTCCCCCACCCAAGCACACAAAACACAGACAATAACATACCCAAGCATACAAAAACACAGACAATAACATATAAACATATAAACAACAGCTGAAAACTTTGCCCGGAGAAACTCTTCTCTGAAATAATTGGAGGGGGGGAGGTTTGTATTGCGAGGCCAGTAATCCGGGAAGGTTTTCTCCACCAAATTCACATTTGCTGCTGAAACACGGAAGTTTCCTGATAAATGGTAGCAGCAAACAACAACACATGTATGTCTTGTATACTGTAGCTGTTTTGAGAAGTTTTCTCCGAAATGTGTTTTATCGCCCCAACCACTCTTCTCTGTACCAACAACTGTGGGAGTTTAGCGTTTGGTGTGTATCTTCTTGTGCACACACACAGTTTCAGGTGGTGTCCCTCTCTCCTCCGTTCACCATTGAACACCACTCATTCCTCTTAGGGTAAGTATATATACCATTCATTTAGCACATAAGTATTGCAACACCACTTACAATGTCGATTCTTGTCTATGGCTGCTCTCTGCAGGATTTTATATTGAGAAACCCAAATGCATGCCAAGTGCTTTGTGTGATTATTGTGAACAAGGCTTTAAATACTCTCCCTCTCCCTCTTTCACTACCTCCCTCCCTCTCTACTACAATCATAGCCCTCGTCAGTGTGCCCGTCTCCCAGTTTGTTTCACGCCCACCAGACCTGGCGTCTTCGAAGCTGTTCTTGCAGTCAGAACGGCGACTGGACACCAGGCATTTTCACAGCTCACAGGAACCGCTATTGCACACGAATATTCTCTCTAGCTCTCTCTTCATTATACACATGACATGATCCGGCTAAACGCGCATGCGCTTCTATAGGTCCGTGATTTTCTACGCGCATGCGTTAAATAAACGGGAAAACACCGCGTGTGAAAAGCGAGAAACTGTGACACGGACAGGCGGAAGATGGACCAGAGGAACGGTATCATCCGGACGCCGGGGAAGAAGACTCGTAGCAGAAAAAAGGACCCGCTCCACGACGTGATCTCTCATGTCAAGAAAAACGAAGTGGAGCAACTGGTCGAGAAGATGAAGGGAGATGAGCACTTATTGGAGTTGTTCCGGGAGCGGCTGCTAGAGGCCCGAGTGGACGCCGATCGCTCTCCGCTTGTCGTGGCCGTACTCAAGAACTCTTTCGACGCGTTCAAACACATGTTGGACAACTACGAAGTGAACCTGGAGCAAGAGACTAGCGCCGTTATCGAGGGAGGTTACCCTGTGGAAGGCGCCACGCCCCTCTGGACGGCCTCGACTCTGGGCCACCTGAAGTTCGTCCAGCTGTTAGTGGAGCGGGGCGCCGAGATGGAGCACACCACGGACTCCCGATCCACCCCGCTGCGTGGTGCAGCGTTCGACGGTCACTGCGACGTGTGCGAATTCCTCATCGAGCGTGGGGCGGACATCGACAAGCCGAACCAGGTCGGCCAGAGCCCGCTGACCATCGCCGCCGCCATGAAGAAGACTGAGTGCGTCAAGCTGCTCATCGAGAAAGGCGCCAACGTCAACCACCGCGGGCACAACGGGGACACGCCGCTCCACGTCTGCGTGGAGTCAGGCGCCGTCCAGATAGCGGAGATACTGGTGAAGGCGGGGGCCAAGAATAACCCGAACGAGGTCGGGTTCACGCCGTCCATTTTGGCCTGCTGCTATGGTCACGACAAAGTCATGGAGTTCCTCGACTCACAGTTCAAGCTGAAACCGCGGGAACGCTACGACTGCTACTGTCTCCTGGCCGCAAAAGAGGTATTGGGGGGCGACGAAATGAAAGCCAAGGAGTGGATGAGAAAAGCTGTCGTGATTCGCATGGAGTCTCCAACACAGTTTGAAGATATCGCGCCGGCCGATAAAATCTACGACAATCTCCAGGAGCCGCGGACGCTGCAGGAAATAGACACCATTGTCCTGGACGAAACCAACATGTTCTTTGTCAGCTCGATCTTCTGCGAGAGAATCCTAGGCAGGATTCACCCAACGACTGCCTTCTACATCCGCATCAGTGGCGACATGGCCCTCTCGGAGGAGCGCTGGGACAAGTGCATCGAGCTCTGGCATCGCTCGCTCGATTTCGACCACGCCGCGAGAATGGCGTACGAATTGCAGATTACGGAGGACCTGCTTTTCTCCACGCGAGGATTCTGCATAATGTGCACCAACGAGTTCCGCCCACCGGTCGAGCCCCACTTCCGCTGGGGACTCAAAGAGTTCAAACTGGCCAGCGAGAGCAAGATATCAGAGGTGGAAGTCGTTAGCTGCCTTGCCCGCATGCTCGCAGCCTGGATGAAAATCGCAAACATGATCGAGGGTCGAATGGAGCGAGCGAAAGAGTGCGACAAAATCAACGCCGCGGCCAGAGACCTGCTCAAAGTGACAGAGAACCTCAAAATCCCTCTCGTAGTCGCCTGCCTTCAGAATCTTCCAGACAACACCAGCGGCGCCAGTCGCGACATCGTCAACGGAGATCTCCCTCTTCACTCGATGTTGGCCAAGTTTCTCGAGCTCGGGACCCCTCTCCAATGCGAAGACTCTGCGGGGAATTTCCCTCTCCATCTCGCAGTCAAACTACGAGAGGACAGTGCCCTCGAGTGTGCGAAGATACTGATAGAGTTTGGGTGTCACGTGGACGCCGTCAACTACAACGGAGAGACGGCTCTCGACTTGGCTCTGGAGGAGTGTGGATTTCCAGCTCTCCGGTCGGATATCGTGGCCGAACTGAGGAAAGCAACATCTCAGAACACCTCGCTCCAGTGTCTGGCTTCGAAGGCGATTCTCAGATATTCGATCGAGTTTTCAGCCATCCTCCCACGGACGTTGGTTCAGTACGTATCGTGGCACGAGAGCGATCCCCAATTACCGGCCAGCCCCGGGGAAAACGACTCGTCACCTTCTTCTCCGTTGAACAATGCAGCGGTGGAAGTTTCCTAGCAGTCCATTTTCTTTACTGTGTGTGTCCAACATTTTTGTAATGCTTTTTCTCTCTTCTTTTCTACAACATATATACCTATATTACTATCATACTTATGAATCTCACTGATTTCGTGTTCAAAAGTAGAGATAATATTAACAGGCGAAATGACGGCAAAAAGAAAGAAAAAGGTTATCTGGGAGTGTTTGTGGGTGTCTGTGGGGGGGCCTTGTATGGTAGTTCTTTGCCCAGCACAAGTAGAGCCACTGTGGCCGCACTTTGTTCTGCATTTCTCTTGCTCTTAGCCCTGCACAGGGAGGAAAGTGGAAAAAAACTAAAGTTGCAATACTGTTGGCCCTACATGAAGACACCAGAAGGAGAGAAAACAGACAAAGCTTTGGTTGCAGGGGGAGAGAGAAGAGAGAGCTGCATAATTTTATGTAACTGGATAGAGACAAAAGAGGCTAATGTGGTTATAAAACCGTCCCATGCACCAGTCAAAAACAGTATAATATATAGTGGTGGTCCTAATGCTATTGTACCATAGACTGGAGGAGTACGTCCGGTCGCCAACGGTTACGACTGACTTGAACTGACGATCTCGACTCCGCTCCACCTGAGGGTGGAAGACACATATAATATGTTGTGCATCATTACGAGAGCAGTGTCCTAATTTCAGGGGTTATATATTATCAAGAAAATGCTATTTGGGAAACGAAAGGCATCCCCATTAGGGAGGTATCCTAATTTCAGGGGTTGTATTGCTTGCAAAGAAAATGTTATTTGGGAAACGAAAGGCATCCCCATTAGGGAGGTGTCCTCATTTCAGGAGTGCTGTCTAAAACCTTAGCTACTGTATATACATGATTGTGGTGTGAAGTGTGGTTTAATCTTCAATGATCAAAGTGACTCAGTTGCACTCACAGTCTTGTAACGAGGGGCGGAGCCGTGGTGTCTGCGGCTGTAGACGTAGAGCGAGGTCTTGGGAGTCTTGTCGACGGGGAATTCCCTGCGATCATAGGTAACGAGCATCTCCGTCACACCCTCCTCGGTGACCTCCACGTCTGGCCCCGCCCGACGACGCTTTGCCGATGATGTCATCAGATTAAAAGTAGCCACACCCAGTTCCTGCGGCAGAGCCAACGTAAATGTGGCCAAATTAGCAAAAGTAAACCTTTTGGTCTAAAATCACAAGAAGTTCCCCTATGTATGTATGTAGGTGTTATTTGAACGCTGAACCTTCTGGAGTTGAAGAGGTAGGGATTCAGCTAATCTCTCTCTCTTCTCCAGAACTGAGTCGAGATAAGGAACCAGACCCCACACTTCGCTGGAAAAAATTGGAGAGAGAGAGGAGTGATAAAATTGTTCACAATTATGATGAGTGGAGAAAAATATGGAAAGTAGGAAAGACAAAATGCACATGATGATGTGCACGACTATTCGGTGCACCGAACAGGAGCAAACACAGGGAAAAGCAAACCAGAGAGAGGAGAGGGAGGAGATCAAGGCCCACCATATCTCTCTCATGTTAGCTGCAGCAAGAAGAGCCTTCCCCGGAGCGCCCTCCATGGCCGACTGGAGCATCTGAGCCACGCAGTATTTGGTGTTGGAGGTGTTGTTGTCACAGTCAACTGCCAGTCTCACATAGTCTTTGATCACCTCGTCTAATGGCAGGGGTCCCTCTTTCCTGCAACCATCATTGCAACACATTTCAACGCATGGTGCAAAATTTCAGCTTGTTTACGCGAAAGGATGACGGCATTGAGGAAAGTGCAACGCGCCGTGAAAACCTGCTACAGTAAGAGAGTGTGAAGACCTGAAGATGGAAGGGTTCCACTGGGCACATCTTGCCAGCATCACCGAGCTGCACTCTGTGGACGACGAATGACAGAGAGAGGAACAGGAGGGAGAGAGGGGAGAGAGAGAGAGAGGAGAAAAGATGGAAGCAAGGAATTTGGTCAGATGGTGAATTAGACAGTCTTTTTTGAGTCACCTGCTCTTGACTTGAACCTAGCTACATCTTCATAGGTGGCCACATCACCCGACCCTCCACTGATCAAATGTTGAGCATAGTAAAATATCTTTCGAATTACTTTTGCCATTTACTTGGCTATTATTGGGACTGAAGCTTTTCTGGAAATCTCTCTGATGATGTCATAATGACAAGGGGTGGTGGATCTCTCTTTCATTGTCCTACATACAGCCAGCGAGCGAGGAAGAGAAAGGATCGAGGCAGAGAAAGAGAAGAAAGAAGGGGGGAAACAGTCAAGGAATCTTGAGGAGAAAAAGAGTTGTAGAGAGTGAGAGAGGAAGATAGGGAGAGAGAGAGAGAGATTGTCACAAGAGGGGACCTGCCGTGAATGCCAATGGCTGCCACTCCTGTGGTCTCTATCACTGACACCAGCTCCAGAGTCTCCTCCAACTGCAGTCACACAGTAGGTCCGGTTATTGTGGGAAGCATTCAGACACACAATTTGATGACGGTGACCAATCAATTTCATTTCTTAACTCTCTTCTCCTCACATACAGTGGGTAGGATCCTGATTTTGCATGTCACCGGCTTGGAGACTCCTTCCACAAGAGTGGTCAGTATCTGTCGAAAAAGACAGTCCAACTCATCACCTACCCACACACACACACACACCATAACCATTAGCTGATCCCTAACCTCTCTGACTTTCTCTGGCTGAGTGAGGAGAGCCGCCCCCATGCCTCCCTTGAGAGAGAACTCCTTCGGACAACCCATGTTCACGTCTATTCCTGCCACATCTCCCTCCCTAGAGAGACCATACATTATCATGTGACTCACACATGAAGGTCACGTGATCACATATGCCTCACACATAAATGTCATGTGACTCGCACATAAAGGAACTTACACTAGTTTTGCTGTCTTTAGAGCTCGTTGTGGATCAGCCGTTCCCTGATTCATGATTGTGTGTGTGCGAGAGAGAGAGAGAGAGAGAGAGAGAGAGAGCAGGTGAAAAGGGGAAGACCTGAGGGTCAACCAGCTCACCATCTGAAACACTAGTCTTTCTCTCTCCTCCTCGCATGTCCTGAAGACACACATTCCGTCAGGCAACACAAAGTCAACGGTATCCAGAATAGCTGCAGCAAAACAACTCCTAACATATCCAGTTGCACTCTCTACTGACTTACGGTTTACTATTCTCTTGCACTGCACCACCTTATGATCTATCAGCTCCTGCAGAAACACACAGAGACAGATAGCTAGGCGATTGTTTTGTTGTTGGGAGAGTGCTTGGCGGTCCTACCTCGCAGTATACGATGTCAGCTCCGTATCTCAACGCCAGTCTTCGCATGGGTAGCGTCCCGATGCGTACCATGGGCGCCAGGATTACCTTGTTGGCGTACTTGAGCCTACCGGACATGTTTGACGGTGCAAGTTCGGACACGGATTGTTATTCGGACACCACGGAGCGAGGGGAATAACCTGCTGATTCAGCACACTTGCGCAACACACGTGTCGTGGGGAAGACGTAGTCTTCGGGTTTTCCACAGGCTGAGCTAGGAGATGGCTGACCGGCCAGCAGGCAGAAAGGCAAGGGGTGGGAACAAGAAGAAGAGACGGAAGGCGGCGCGTGGAGAGGCGAACCGCGGCCGATCTCAGCCCGTACCCCCGCAACCCTCGCCTTCTCCCCTGCCGACACTCGTTCGAGCACCTCGTCCAGGCGCTCCTACAGTCTCTGGCCAGACTCATTCAACAAGTCAGAGGTATATACACTACACACTAACAAGAGGCCTCTTCAATCAAACAGACCACAATGATGGGTCCATGTAGAATGCACTTGGGGTTGGGAGACCTATCTGCCTATCATACCCATGCATTAGAAGCTCAACAAACTATATGGTGTGTCATTGTGTTCTCCCTGGCAGTGATTCACCAGGAGGTGCCCTGTCAGGCGTGTGACGAGTCAGCACCTCTCCCTCCTCT